AGTCAGTGGATATGTTGTTGAAAAAGGTCCTTGAAATACTTTGTTGATCTGTTGTTGACGTGATGAATGGCTACTCAGATGGTTGGCTTGGCTCCTTTCATCTGGTTTTGCTGTCATTGTCAGCTTACCCATGGTAGACATTTCCTTTGTTGAATAGCATAAATATACTTACAGAAAAAGAAATAGTGCCACAGCATTATAGCTCACCTAGATTTGTAGTGAACAGTTTACAATGTTGACAAAGATAGCCACTAATACGAAATCTGTAAAATATTAATTATTACAAATGGTTTTCATTTATGTAATGATACGTAACACGTACTGTGTAACCCTATGTTTTTGTTTGTTTGTTGTCTTATATCGTCTTACATTGTCTAGCTGTTTGGAAGATGGGACAGCCTTTGCCTTCTTTGGTGGTGGTGATGTCAATGTTTCCACTGTTTTGATTGTTGTTTGAACTGGAACAGGTGAACCTAGGTTTCATTGATAGCTACTAATCATTGCAAGAACCTTTCTGAATCAGCTTCAAACAGAGTTATATTATCACAAAGCATGTTGTGCCTGGTGCGTTTTTGATTAGATGTCAGATGATATAGAACCCAACAAGCTGATACTTTCATTATTTCAAACTTTCCTGTGACAATGGGTGTACTCTCTCGTAGGAAATGCCTACTGAACTCACAATATGATGCTTAGTCATTCGCCGGAAAGTTATCATATTGTGGATTCTCTGGATCATTTCTGGTGTTGCTGACATCACAGGCCTTCAAGGAGGGTGGTCGTCTTCAAGGCTCTCCCTGCATAACTTAAACTCTGCTGCCCACCTCTTTTATGAAGGGGCATCCGTTGCTGGTGCTCATATCTCCATGGATGGCTTTTGGTCCATATTGGCATCCCAGAACAAGAATGCAATAATCTTTCCAGCTGATGAGACAGTCTATTCCTACTCTGGGGTTTGTGATGTCAAATGCTTCCACTTCTTTGATTGTTTAATTTTTATAGTGAACCCAGATTTCATCAAGTCACTAATTGTTGCAAGAAACTTACTGGATCAGCTTCAAACAGATAGGTTATTATTAGCCATCTTGTCCCAGAGAGAAGCTTTGGAACCCAGCTGATACTTTCTTTACTGCCAAATGTACGCTCTCCTGGCAAAAGCCTACTGAACTAGCAATATGACACCCAGTCATTAGCCGGCTGGTCGTCTACATATCGTGTACTCTCTTGATAATGTCTGGTGTTGCTGAATGATAGAGATGAGTTGTCTTCAAGGCTCTCTCTGCCAAGCTTAAACTCTGCTGTCCACGGTAAGTGGCATAGGAAGGAGAATCCTTCCATTGTGTTGTACTCATATCTACATAGATGGGTTTGTGTCTGAAAGTACTTGGTCACTGCATGGTTCTAATGTTTGATCATTTTTCAAAGGTCACAGAACACTGCTTCTTTATTGAGTTGTCACAGCTAAACAATTTCCTCAACTGACTCAATACCTCTATGACATCATGTAATGTCCACAGCAAAAGGGGGCACGGGCAGCCCAGTCGTCTAAGGCGCTGCGATTCCCTATGCAGAGTTGCGTCCCTTCGGCACACCAGAAACCTATGATTGTTGGTTCGAATCCCTGTTCCCCCTGATTATGTTTCTAGGTTTGTCAGCACCATACCCGTGCTCATGGGTTTCGTCTGAGACCTGCATCACTGCGGGCTTTCCTCCCACATTAAGCTGACACGCCGCGATATAACTGGAATACTGTTAAAAGCGGCGTTGTTAAACCCAACTCACTCACTGACAACTAAAGATTTCACTATTACACAATTCCTTCTGTCAACTTATCAATCAACCCTCATAGAATGCCAATCAAATAATTATTCTTGAATGACTGATGATTACTTCTCTGAACAAACAGTTTGATATTGCCCCAAAACAACCAACATGCAAAAATTCAAATCATATGATAAACAAAACATTAAAGTATATTTTGACAAACAAACATCTAAAACAAAAGCAAAATCCCATCATTCGGTGGGGAACATTGACTACTGTAGATTAAGCAAACAGTCTACATTTGAAAACCCACTCTCCTGACCCCATAAATATGTGGGTGATAAAGCAAGTATGACTGCCAATAGAAAGATCAAGAAGGTACTTTCCTCACACAGGGCCCCACCCCCTTAACAAACACTCCTAATGGATTCAGTAGAGACAGCATATACGTGTATGTAGCACACGTACAGAGAATACAAACCGGGCATACATTGTCCGTTCCAAACGCACCGTCACTGAAGTCTTGGCACAGGCCTTCGTTCCACCATGGAAGAATTCAACCAAATACCAAATGTATTGATAAAATATTTCCAGCTCTATTCTTTGATTGTACATTTTAAATCCTGAGAAATATTCAACTCGTAACATATGACTTATATTCTGACCCAAGCATTTAAATAAGTGTGTCACACCGCTGTAGCTCACCTGGCCCCACTTGCACAAAGCGAACTTAGCACTATGACTATCATAAGGTGATGTTAAAGTATGGGAGTTGGTATAATCTTAGAGCTAAGATGGATTTGTGCAAGTGGATCCATGTCTTACATAATGACATTATTATTTTCAAGCTTAAAAAGTCAACAAAAACAGATAAGTACGTTCTCGGCAAAATGCATGTCATTCCTCAGCTTCAGGCAATGTCTTTGATGGTAACACATCACACAAGTAAACTTTATCTTTTTGGTTAATTCTATCCATATAACTAGACCAATTCATGTTTTAGAATGGAAAAATATGTTAAAACTGCAGTGTTTTATTGAAATTGTGTGCTTATAACAAACTTTCTGTTTGTATTTATCAAACTATTATTCTACTGTTGTTTTACGCCACACTCAGTAATATTCCAGCTATATGACGGCGGTCTGTAAATAATCGAGTCTGGACCAGACAATCCAGTAACATCATGAGCATCGATCGACGCAATTGGGATCGATGACATGCATCAACCAAGTCAGCGAGCCTGACCACCTGATCCCGTTAGTCGCCTTTTATGACAAGCATAGTCGCCTTTTACGGCCAGCATGGGTTGCTGAAGACCTATTCTACCCCGGATCTTCACGGGTCTAATACTGATGAACATTAGTATCTATTTACTTATGAGTTTAGACCTTATTTACCTTAGAGTTTCGCTAGGTAGAGGGATATCTTCTTCCCAAAGTGTGAGTTTACATTTATCTATCAATGCCTTCCTTCTGTTTTTCATTACACCACCAGATATTTATGTTCTTGTTTTCGATTCACAAATGTGCCAACATGAAATTAAAACAATAAATAAAGGATACAAACTTGGGTTTTTTGACTTATTATTTCTTTTTTTACTTCAATACATAATATTATTTGTAAAAGAAATAAAACATATATTTGGGTTGGATACTTCCCAGGGAGCTGAGAATGAAAATTTAGTGCACACTGATCCATTGACCAGGGTGATGATGTGGCGCCGTGAGGTCTCACTTGGTGAATGGAATTTAGTGCACACTGATCCATTGACCAGGGCGATAATGTGGCGCCGTGAGGTCTCACTTGGTGAATGGAATTTAGTGCACACTGATCCATTGACCAGGGTGATAATGTGGTGCTGTGAGCTCTCACTTGGTGAATGGAATTTAGTGCACACTGATCCATTGACCAGGGTGATGATGTGGCGCCGTGAGCTCTCACTTGGTGAATGGAATTGAGTGCATTATAAATGGACTCCTAATTAACATGCAAATTTAATTTTTGCCTACACTTTTTTTATTTCTTAGGTTTTTAGCAAAAAATCCTTGTCTGTAGTTGAGGAACCAATTTTAATTACTTGAATTTTATTTTTCTTCTTTAAAACATATTCTGAATTTATGTGTGCTGTGTTCGACATGCCAGTCTTGTACTTTGACAAAGTTTTATTTTAGTAAATACGTGTACAAACATTTTGGATTTGCTGAATGAAAACTAAAAGACTTTTCTGATTTGTTTCCACTTATATTTTGTTTCTAATATCCCAAGTTCTTTTCCTCTAATAATATCTCCAACCATTTTTTATATTTGAGGAAGACATCCCTTTTCATGTCATTCTAATTTGGTGGGTGTTTTTTATTACTGAAATTTATTAAAAGACATCCTGAAAAATACTTTATATTTTTTAGAGAATTTCTCTCAACATATCATAATAATTTCAGGAAGTGGGCACATCAATATACAAGCTATTACATTCCAAAAATGATTTAATTGACAAAAAATGACTTTTTCAGAAAGCTAAAAGACTATGATCCTTCAAAAACATGCCTAATAAATTAAGATTCCTTTTAAAACATGTGAAATAATGTTTCAGTACCAGTAGTATCTGTTCCCATTTATTCAATGTTGCAGGATATAATATTTCCCTCTACAACGTCAGTAATGTAACCTATCGTACACCAACTTTCAATATCACTTCCACACATCCTTCTTTAGTCTTATGTTTATGTAATGTAGCGCATTTTGCAATCTGTTTCAAATATGGGATGTTCTTTGCAATAAATTTCTTATCTTATCTTAAGAGACCTTATTGACAAGGATGTATTTCCTCAAGCAAGTGCTTGTTGCCTTTGATGATATCTATTAGTTAAGTTATCTCTTTAACCTAATATCAAATGGACTTCCAGTGATATTTCTATAGTTTTACCAAAGACAGTCAATACATTACATCAGATTGAGCTGTAACCCACATCTCTAAGTATTAATAGACCTGTTAACCTCGCTATAAAGCATATTATAACCATCATTGTCATCAAATAAACAATTAATTTATGACATTGCTACAATCAAATCAGTCTTATAGAAAAACTCTATTACCGATATAGCCAAAATGTTCAAAAACATACGTCTCCCATTTCCGCATTATAGCGAGGATGTAAAGTGAGGGGAACTCCATTTCTTCTCTGACAGCTGGTATTTAATGGACTGTTGCCATGGTGAATAATGGGGATGACCTAGTTTTCATGACCAGGCAGTAATGGATTCACTGTGAGGTCCATTATTTTAACCAATCGCCAGCTTAGACATATTATTTGATGATGAATTTCACTGCCAGTCAGACACAAGGATAAGTTGCCTCCATCTCCGATGCCATAATTGGCTAAATGTGTCTCTATCTGTGTAAATATAATCCAGAATTCTGATAACAGCCACCACACCATTACTCTAGTCAGTGGCTAGACGTGCTCGGATTATTCAAAAGTCATCAGTGTTCCATAAGCTGCAAGCAGTTTTTCACACCTGCATTATCTAACATATAAAAAAACATGGAGGATACCCACGATCAGTAACCTTTGAAGCGTGCTACAGTGATCGCAGGTCGCTAATGGCACTTCTTGCCATGAACCCTGAAACAATTACAGTCTTGCGAAGTTTGTCCGTGGAAAAAACAGTCTGGTGAATGTGATGGCGTGGATCTAGCTGATAACTGAGAATGATGGCAGATTCTGTTCAGTGGAAACCAAGGATTTTGACAGTTTGGTGTTTGAACTGTAATCTGGACTAATGTCTGCGATGACTGGACGCGGGGCACTGAATCACATGTCTTGCAGCAATATTGCTGAGTATTTGTCCAAACTTGGTGTCAGTGCCACTGGTGTGAACGCTGTTCGAGGTATTTATTCTAAAAGAGTTTTTTTCATAATCCTAATCTTTTGTCATATCTTGGGTTTCATATTGAATAATTTATTACAATCCATCTGGAAAAATTGTATTCCTTTGATTGGCTTTATATTTGTTATGATTTATAAATATAAAGTTTTGTATAAAATAGGTTTTACTTTTTTGTTTCATAGATATACATTAAGGGACTGGTCATTTATTATTGGGGTGGGGAAAGGAGGGTGAGACTGGTGGTACGACTGTATTATATGTATCAACATATTTTCATGACCCCCCCTCACACACACTCATCCCCACCCCTATATCCATGTAACATTTTGTCTTGCACCCTCCCCTATAATATAATAAAGGACCGGTCTTTAAATAATGTTTAAATTCATAATAATGATTATTTGAAAAAACAGAACTGACCCCACACCTCCCCATCTTTCGCTGTGTCATTTTTTCCTTTTTTTTCCTGATCTCCCCCTCAAATTACCAAATTGCCAGTTTGTCAAAAAAATATGATAATATTTTATATCAATCGTATCAATATTTCTAATTTGCAGTTTAGTTTTTGTAGATACTGAATACCTCAGATGTCAATCACTGGATTGTCAGGTCCAGTCTCGATAATTTACAGACCGTCATCATATTGCTGGAATATTGCTGAGTGTGGCGTTAAACAACAAACAAATAAAACGAAACCTCATGCATGGCAGAAAAAGTTTTAAAAATATCCAAATGAAATTTTCTGAAATAATAGCTTTTATTTTCCAAGGTATCATCCATGCTACATTGAAAGATGAAAAGTGTTTTTTTCTATTTATATTTCATAATTTCATTATTTTTCAATGCATAAAACTACTGTGATTTGTCCCTATTAATTTTGTACATAGAATACCAACTGTGACTGAACATTTTCATCAAACTCCCTAAACCTTTGGCACAACACATGCCTGGAGTTGTCTGCCTTTATCGCAAGTAGAAATACAGCAGCGTGTCTACAGAGTAGAGTTAAAAATAACAGAAACTTATTATCATGATTTTAAAACACTTACCGTATTCGACGTAATAAGCGCCCCACTCTAATAAGCACCCATGGCGACATTTGCTAAGATATTGGCTAATGAACAATCCCAATTAGCACCCCTTCCGATTGATCAATGTACACAAGACTTATTTATTCGCGTATAATACGCACTCGCGTGTTATATGCACCCTTAATTATGGGCATTTAATTCTGGAAAAATATATCTGTCGTACATAAACATTTCAGGCTGTCGGCATAAACCACGAAATTTATCTTTGAACTCTGTTTTTTCCACCAAAATAATATTCTAATAAGAGCCCCCCATTTCTAATTTATGTCGAATACGGTATGCTTCTTCTTGTATAGATGTTTTTCACAGGGAAGGTAACTGTGTTCTTTGATAAATTGTCGCTCACAAATAGACTAAAAATATTTGTGATAACAAAAAAGACATTTTAGAAAAGCTCAGAATGTTTTCCAACAAGTAAGGATACAACTAAGGATAAAACTAAGGATATAAAGTGTTACTGATCAAATCTATCTGTTAAACTATTTTTTTTTATTTCACAAAACGATAAATAATTAAGTTCAGATGAGAAAAAAACATCCATTGATAGAATTTCTTTTGTGCTCTTTAAACATAACCTGGAGTCTGTAAATGGCCATGGCTTAAATACAGTTGAGGTTGTCTCAGGGATTGATTAAGTTATGTCATCGAAATAAAGCTTTTCTTTGTTGGCTAACTCAATATTTTGTAGAACTATTAAAACTGATTACACTCTTTAAATGTTGATGTGTTTAAATGTCACGTGGGACACTAAGTCTGAATTGGCAGACAAGATTTCAAATTGTCAAGACAGTCCTACATTTCTCAAGACCTAGATTCAAATTTGTCAGGACCTACATCCCAAAATGTCAAGACTAGATTTCAAGTACTCAAGAATAGTTATCATACTGTAAAGACTTGAATGTCAAGATTTGATTTGCTGTTAAGATTCCAAATGAACATCTAAAGCATGTTAGTTCTATATTTCCTGGACAGCTTTTTCCCCACCAAGAAAACCAGTAAACATAACTTCAAACACACTGAGCTTGGCACTTTTATTCAACGTCAGTTGTCAAGCATTTTATTTTATGGAAAACAGAGTATGCTTCACATGAGACGTGAAATTTGAAAAATATCCTCGAACCCAGGTCTTTGGCATGACAAGTGAATGCCCTAACCACTAAGCTACCCCACCGCCCAATGCCATGAAAGAAAAAATATAAGGAGAGGTCATGACATTGGGTCACTAATTACGCTGATTATGGCGGTAGTCCTATTCTGAATTGGGGCGGGCGGGCGGGCGGGCGGGCGGGCGGGCGGGCGGGCGGGCGAGCAGGCAGTCTAGTGGTTAATTGCCGTGATATTGCTGGAATATTGCTAAAAGCGGCATAAAACCATACTCACTCACTAACTCTGATTTTTGGGTGCAGGTGGCTCAGTTGTCTGAGGTGCCACAATTCACTCTGCCGAGTTGCCTATCTAAGGCATGCCAGAAGCTTATGATCCAGGTTTGTCAGCACCATACCCATACTTGTGGGTTTCACCAAAGTGATAAACATCTAAGACCTGACAAAGTAGGGATAATTTTATGGATAACAACTTCTTTATATACTGAACCGTTGCCTTTACAGTAAATAAAGAAGTTGTTATCCATAAAATCAGACCCGTGAAGATCCGGGGTAGAATAGGTCTTCAGCAACCCATGCTTGCCGTAAAAGGCCACTATGCTTGTTGTAAAAGGCGACTAACGGGATCGGGTGGTCAGGCTCGCTGACTTGGTTGATGCATGTCATCGATCCCAATTGCGTGGATCGATGCTCATGAAATTAATCACTGGATTGTCTGGTCCAGACTCGATTATTTACAGACCGCCGTCATATAGCTGGAATATTGCTGGGTGCAGCATAAAACAACAAACCAACCAACCAACCAACCAACCAACCATAAAATTATCTCTATTTTATCATTCGTCAACTTCTAAGTAACGCCAAACAATTCATCTAAGACCTGCATCATTTGGGGCTTTCCTCCCACATCAAGCTGACATGCTGTGATATGACTTTACACTGTTCAAAGCAGCATTAAATCTTATTCACTCCTTTTTCTTATCTGTTATTGTTTCAGAGCACCAGGTGGATGGTGAGGTGTTCACGGAGCTGACGGACAATGACATCAAGGATTTGTTCAGCATCTTCAAAGACAGACATCTTGTCAGGAAGATCCTTCAAGGAAAGGACAACAACCCTGTTCAAACACATCCAATCAAAACCAAGGATATACCAACCCCAGAGCCAATCAGAGTTCAGAAAACTGCCAACAGTCATGTTTCCGAATCAATCAGAAATGTTCGAAGTGACAGTGGATTTGGATCTTACGCAGCTGGTACGAAAGATAACGTTCTGTCAGAGGAGCAGTTTCACCTGATTCGATCCTTTGAGAAACTAACAGACACAACAGGTGCTTGTTATAGAGCTGATGTCAACACGTACCAAGGACTGTGCAAAAATCCTCATGGCACCAGTATCCATGACAACCAGACTGAGACACAAACTCATCATGTTCCGATGCCATTATCTTACAGCAAATCTGTGACAGAACCCTTGAAACATTTTACATTCATTCAAAACAGCTCTACAAGAGATTCCCTACCTCATCATCTAAAACCTCAGAACTTAAGCCAAGACGGGTCATCAAAAGCTTCTACCAAAGCAAGCACCATTGGAACTGACTACAGAGAATACCCAAGACAATCTTCCCATGCTGCACTATCACACTTCATTCAAAGCAAGTCACGGCTAGCTGCTGAGAATGAGTCTCATGCCCCGGCAGATCTTTCCCAATCCAACAGACATCAGTCCCCGTTTCAGGCAGAACATGAGCTGACGGATTCCAAGTTTATTCCATCAGTGTTGACCCACCGACTGACCCAGTTTTCTGGTCTGGACCTTCTCAGCAGGAAGGCAAAGCAGGGAAAACCCAGTGAGGCCCAGAGACTTGGGCAGATGGTGGTCCGGGAGGCGTCGTCACGCGCAGGCATTTGGGATGATCCTCCTTGTCTTCAGCTCCTCACTACCATGCAGAAGGAGATGTTCTTTGAGTATTCATTTTTCATGGCTCCCAATCTGAGAGAGTACAAGGACCTGTTGTGGAAGAGACTTGGAGAAGCTCTGTTGAACCGCCGTAAATACCTCCGAGACAAGGTACTGGGCAAACGTGGTAAGAGGCTGGATGAACAGTCAGCTTCTTCGGATGTAGATGTCATTGATTTGGACTACTGCGACTCTCCGGAACCTGCTGAAGACTTTGAGGACCAGGTACCGGATACTTCCACCTCATCTAGTCAGGGCGACAGAGCAAGGAAACCACCCAACTGGAATAATGGCCCCAGCTCCACCCTAAGTCGACCAGACATCTCCGACAATCAGGTCCCGATGATGTACAACACTGCTGAAGATGAAGACAGACAGACATACCCGGACTCCACAATGGACACTCAGAACAGTGCAGAGTCCGAGGCAGACCACAAGCAGCAGATGGTGAGAGACAACGAAGAAGTGTTCCGGAGGAAGAGGAGTGCTCTGGACTGTTCTTCCTCCAGCTCCCAGAACCTGTCTCTCCTGTCCTCTGCTGCCTGTTCTGCTCTCAAGGAAGAAGCTGAGATGAGATACAGGACTGAAATCAAAAGGCAAAGATATTCGGAAGACTTCCACATGGTGGACTTTGAGGATGGGCAAGTGGATACGCGATGTGAGCCACCTGCTGACATTGAGAAGGTGAACCTCCACAAACGGCTGTTTATGTCCAAATCTGATTCCAGACACCATCACATCCGAACAGGACCTGTTCAATATGACCGTCACATAGACAGGAAACCTGTCGACTTGTTTGAACCCCCGCTGCAGACCTCCTGTGATGAACAACAGTCATCAAACTTCATCATGAGGACTGATCAAGAGTCTGATGATGCTGTCTCAAACGAAGATCTGGAGAACTCGGGCATGTGGGACTCTTTTGTGATGGAGGAAGTCCCTGAAATGAGAATCTACAGTACGATAGACCGAGGAATAGCCCAGTACACCGGCGAAGAACTCTTGACAAAGAAATCAAAGCAAGGTAAGCCTTCCGAGCCACAGCGACTCGGACAACAGGTGATCCGCGAGTCAGCCATGATGGCCAAACTGTGGCAGGACGTTCCTCAGAGCATACGGGCCATCAGTGAACACCAGAAAAAAGTGTTCTACCAGTGCGCGTTCACACTGGCACCAAACCTCGTCCCTTTCCGGGACATGTTGTGGAGAAGGCTGGGTGAAGCTCTTCAGAATCGGAGAAAGTATGTGCGAGATCGGAGACTTGGCAAGAGGCCAACGAAGCGGGAACAGAGAATCATGAACGAATCCCTGAGTCAGCAGGAATCTGAGTCCGACTCCCAGGCTAGCCTTAGTTCAATACAAGACATTGAGAACATTGTCAGAGTCAAATCTGAAAATCCACATCATTGACCACAAAAGACACTTCTTCAAAGAAATATACAGTATACTGTCTAAACAGTTCTTTCGGCACAAAATTATCTTAACGCTCAGTTTATGATATAGCATAAGAGTTACGATCATCATAGTGCTAAAATCACTTTGTGCATATGGACCCAGATCTTGATAAACTGAAGTAAATGGCACTTCTTCAAAGAAATATACAGTATATACTGTCTAAACAGTTCTTGCTGCACAAAATCATCTTAATGCTCAGTCTATGATATAGCATAAGAGTTACGATCATCATAGTGCTAAAATCACTTTGTGCATATGGACCCAGATCTTGATAAACTTTAGTAAATGGCACGATTGGTATAAGCGGCAAGATGCTGGGATCACATGCACAAAATCATCTTAATGCTCAGTCTGTGATATAGCATAAGAGTTATGATCATCATAGTGCTAAAATCACTTTGTGCATATGGACCCAGATCTTGAGTAAATGGCACTTCTTCAAAGAAATATACAGTATATACTGTCTGAACAGTTCATTCTGCACTCTTAAAAACTACAAAGTAGTTTAAATTATTTCCTGTTTTAAACATCTTTCTGTAAAAGAGTATGTAGGTGCTACAAGACTTAAAAGAACTGCCATACTCCCCCTTACTTTGAACCACTCCAAGTTATGTCCATCCATGTTATAAGATCAACATTTGCTTTTTTCATATTGGATCACCTGTTTTCTAAAAATTTGGAAAAAATTAAAATTAATTTTACTGATTAATTTTTTTTCTGAACATGTATGCATGTTTTCATATGTCAGATGTAGATAATTCACTCAGTTAGGTAAATCTGCAATACTGCCATGGGACTCACTGTTTGATTTTCTGAGGGGTTCTCAAAAAGTCGTTTTTGCAAAATGCTGTGAAAGAGATAATTTGTCCTCGGGTTTTATGAAAAAAAAAAATTGCTGGATGTTCCAGAGTTTTGGGGGTAATAATATGTTAAGTTCCTCCTCTGTGATCCAAGTAATATTAAATGTTGGCCTCATCGTTCCTTCTTGGGCTGCAGGTATTACCACTTAGGCGGCAAGATGCTGGGATCACATGCACAACACTCAGTTGATGATATAGCATAAGAGTTATGATCATCACAGCGCTAAAATCACTTTGTGCATATGGACCCAGATCTTGAAAACTTAAGTAAATGGCATGACTTCGTATAAGTGGCATGATGCTTGGATCACATGCACAAAATGATCTTAACGCTCAGTTGATGATATAGCATAAGAGTTACGATCATCACAGCGCTAAAATCACTTTGTGCATATGGACCCAGAGCTTGACAAACTTAAGTAAATGGCACGACTTCGTATAAGTGGCATGATGCTGGGATCACATGCACAAAATGATCTTAATGCTCAGTCGATGATATAGCATAAGAGTTATGATCATCACAGCGCTAAAATCACTTTGTGCATATGGACCTAGAGCTTGACAAACTTAAGTAAATGGCATGACTTCGTATAAGTGGCATGATGCTGGGATCACATGCACAAAATGATCATAACGCTCAGTCTATGATATAGCATAAGAGTTACGATCATCATAGTGCTAAAATCACTTTGTGCATATGGACCCAGATCTTGATAAACTTTAGTAAATGGCATGACTTCGTATAAGTGGCATGATGCTGGGATCACATGCACAAAATGATCTTAACGCTCAGTCGATGATATAGCATAAGAGTTACAATCATCACAGCGCTAAAATCACTTTGTGCATATGGACCCAGAGCTTCACAAACTTAAGTAAATGGCATGACTTGGGTCCCGGCAGTCCTGGCAAGTTTAACTTTGCTTGTTGACTGTTATTATCTCGTACACGCCATCAGCAACAGATTACCCCCATTCTACACAAGGTGCTCACTCAACACATAGACTAAAGCCTTTAGACTCCTATAGTTGTAGCTTAAGCTGTCTCCATTGAAGCATTCATGTCAGGTGAAGAATATATATACTACTCGTTTAAAACAAGTTAAAGAACACCCACAATTGGAGGAAGGCTGTGTGTTGCAATACCCCCAAGCCATGACAGATTAACTATAGTCATATGAAAAAATTGGGTTTTCTTTAACTTCTTTTGTCTGGTATATATATGAAAGTGCCATGTATCTAAACATTTGGCAAAAGAATGGCAAATATATATCTAAAATCTATTTTCACCTCATATTTTGTTGGGTCTGATTTCCTTTCATGACTTTTTACAAAAATAAAATATAAATGTAGAATATTGTAACAGGCAAATAGCCATCCATTTTGTCAGTGCCCCTCCCCAAAATCTAGCATTATATTTATACCTTCCGTGTCATGTTAACAAATTCTAATGTTTTGAATATTTCAGAGTTTCCTAGCAACCAAAGAATTATTTGTTTTCAGTATTATTTAAGAAATGTCTACCGGGTAGTCATTGAAAACTAGTTACTGAAGTAAAACATGTGCTGTGACTTCTTCACATTTTCACAAAGCCAAGGTGTATAACACTACAACACAAATCCATGTTATCAATGCAGATACCATGATGTGTAAAATATGGCGTCTTTTATAGTGACAACCAAAATATTGATTGTGTAGTTTGACTTATGAGAATTAAACTGTACTCAAAGTGAAACATGTTTGTAATTAAATGTTTGACAGTGCCTGCAGGCTAACACCAGACCAATTAATTTCCATGTTTTTTGGATGACCCTTGTCTTAGAGGTAGTCATCAAGCCATACTGGAAGTAAAGGCTGGAAGACCTAAAGTATCACCTGACCTATGAGGTCGACCATTTAGAAACACAATCAGGGCTGCAGGACATGCAGGACTGTGTGTGTGTGTGTGTTTCTGTGTTTGTGGATGATTGTACTAGTCTGGACTGATGCCGAATTTATAGTGCTAACCCACTGAGATACCATGCTGCAGTTTAACATAGATACCCCACTCAGACACAGAAAACTGACAACCAGTACTTGTTTTATACTCTTAATGCGAAGCACCAGGCAGGGTAACAAGAAGTACCATCTTTTAACATCTTTGGTATGACGCATCCAGGGATCGAACACCAGACCTCTCACCAGGCAGACACTCCATCCACTAGACCATGTAGGAGGTCATTACTACTAAAACATCTTGATTTTCTAAATATTTAAAAAACAAACATGTATTAATAAACATTGATGTATTCTATTTTTGTCACAAAAAGTCTACAAAAAATGTATGTATGTATGTATGTTCTGTGTGTGTGTGTGTGTGTGTGTGTGTGTGTGTGTGTGTGTGTGTGTGTGTGTGTGTGTGTGTGTGTGTGTGTGTGTGTGTGTGTTCTCTGTGTGTGTGTGTGTTCTGTGTGTGTGTGTTCGTGTATGTGCGCGTGCATGTGTGCGCGTGCGTGCGTGTGTATATGTATGTATGTATGTATGTATGTATGTATGTATGTATGTATGTATGTATGTATGTCTTTTGACACTGAACCCTGTGATTTAAAAAGCAGATTTAGATTAAATAGCAAATGTAATAAGAGCTACATCGTTAACTTCCAAATTTTCAGTCATTGTAGTCGTGTTTCTTCATCACACACCAGACAGATGCCTCGGTACACAATCAAAGCTTGAGTACAGAGGAAATTAGATTTCAGTATTCTCGTCATGCATTACAAGAACTGCGTCAGTAATCAATAAGAATACATCACTCGTCACACAAACACAATCTGGCTTCCAATTGTTCCAAGGACAAGCGTTGGCACCTGGATCATATTACTGCCTTAGGAAAAAGCAAGTATCAACAATCATTATAACAGTATACAGATCAATAATCAATAATCAATAAACGTTTGCTTGCTAATCAAACAGAATGGTGATTAACATTAATAAACTTCACGATATAATAGAATTGCAAGATGTGAATATTTCAACAGTTGAGCACTCAATCACTCATTCTTTCTACAGCACACTTATTTATAAATCAGTCGCTCTTTCTACAAGAACTTTTGTATTCTGATTGGTCGATCAGAAGTTTTAAATCTTAATATATCTCAAATTTGATGATCACTTCACTGCACATATAACTATCTCCTGCCTGCCGCTATTGTGTCCACTCGTCCTTTCATCATTTAAAGGGGCACTGATCTAATGGAATTCCCTGGACTGGTTGTTGCCTTTGTTATTGTTTTTTCCCCGTGAGTACCCGGATGATACGCAACGCAACTGAGCGTGACCAGAGACTGGGCTACCGTCTGCAAGGACAGCTAAATAAACTTGGAGGCTGGAGGCAATATTTGTTTTACGCATTTTTGCATAAACACTGATTGGTTAACCGTGATCTATAAAAATTTCGACAAAGGGCGCATGTTAATTAATTTCTTCAACCTAAACAAACAGACAAAAAGAACGGCGGAGCCCATCGGATGTCGTCATTTGGAAATACCCCAGATGGTCATAGTTTAATACTAAAAAAAGTATCCATGCAGTGAAAGCATTTTCGGATTTCGGATTGCGTCGATAATACGATATCTACTCCCTTGTTGTCATCCACGTTTTCTCGTATAACCCTACACTTGTGTATTTGTCGTCATTCACTTCAAGCTGAGTTAATGAATTTATTACAGGTACAATTAGTGGTAGAACCACTTAGATTACCTGACAAAGGTTCCCATTTGGCATTTATTGTGTCTGGGGTAATTATTCAATCTAAATCCAGGTTTGAAGTGAGGTGAAATGTGTGTTATGTAATATGCACGTGGCAGACCAGCAAGAGGTGAATGATCAGTTGATTTCCTTTTTTTGTGTAAATCAACGGATCGTTCCTAGTCATCAAAGGATTAACAGAAAATATGTTGATTGATTAATCACTGTTAATATCTTGCACAGTGGATATGTCAAAAGTGAGTGTTTACATGTCTAGGTTTACTAAAACAAAGGGAATACACTCATATCATGGCGTGAAGTGCCGATGTAAAAACAACATACTTTGTTCAAAGGGTTAACTGATTATACGTTGATTGATTGATCATTGTTATCTATCACTCAATGGATTTTTTAGGAACTGTGGACGTTATGAAAATAGTTGTCACGTGGGCTTTCTCAGCTGACCCTTGAGACTTGACACCTATGTGAAACACCTGAAACAATCCAAGTGATCAGTTGAGAAACGAACACGGGTTAAAATATCCCAAAACGATATATAGCTTTTAAAATATGTGATTGTTACAGAGACACGTGACAACGAATAAGTTTCTTTGTACAGCTGCAGACGAGTGGGATATTGTTCCTTTGTGTGGATATTCATGGATACATTCCTCGAACAAGGAAGCTGCCTAAAATTTATACACATAAATTTGGTAGGTTGTAATTATGGTATTTGCATTTTGTTTTCCTTCATTTGCTGTAGCATTGAACCGATTCGTCCTTGTTCCTCTACGTCTTGGTTGGGAAATTCTTCACTGCGCGATAGACGTTGTTTTCACAGGCCTTTTCCTTTGTAAGCGTGTATATATTACCTTCAATTTGTAAAATGTGATTCTCTCAGGCAATTTATAAAATGTGTAAATATTTCAGTCATTTTGACTAAAAAATCTGTCCAGATTGATTAAGACGATCAAAAGGGCCTACAAACATCACAACTGATTATTCTGTAGGATTAGAAGCCAAACAACATAGAAATGTACTTTTCAACGTAACATTTTCAGTCTCTTGGTGATGACATTAAACATCAAAATGTTTGGAATTCGTTATCATAATAATACAGATGAAAATGTTTTTCAGTCACTTTGTAAAATAACTGAATATTTAGGCGTTTAATAAATTTGAAAATGTTACACATTTTGACAGTAAAAAAATATACACACTATATAAAAGCAATGCTCAGGTGAAATATTTACTTTGTATTGCAAGTCAAAATAGTGTAAACGAAAATCGCAAAATTACTAAGCAAGTGTTTTATCAAAACTTCGTCACCATTACCGATGCTACCCACAAAGATACCTACATTTCCTTATTATCTCGAAAACTGTATTTCATTTTGTTGATCAATGTGACAATACGCCCTTATAACTACCCATACAAGTGACTAACGCGCTTACGAATGGCGCAGCAGAGGTCGCGAACTAGTCTAGATTTCTGCTATACATCCGGGTACTCACTGGGAAAAAACAATAACAAAGGCAACAACCAGTCCCGGGGAATTGCGTTAGATCAGTGCCCCTTTAAAATCAACTTTATAAAATCTGTACTGGGACTATGGGTTGTCTGCCCATGTGCAGCACGCACATCTCTGATTGGCTGCAAATCATAAACTAGTTCCAGTCTACATACCAGTTTTTTCTTAATCCCTTGTTTCAAATATGTATATGTTTATTTGTCAACAGTGAATTCTGAATAAGGCTACAAAAAAACCTGATATTTAAGGATGGACTTAAATATTTTCATTTAGGGAGGTGTTTACACTGCATAAATCCATGAGTGATACGACACTATATTCATAAATCCTTGTTACTAATGCCCTGACTGGTTTTAAAAGATTTAACAAATTCCACAGTCAGCTGCCACCCTGAAACAGCTGCCACCATGTCACTTTCACCATTACAACACATAATCTTTCCCCAAAGTGATCGTAGCTCTACGACTGTCGTAAGTCTATGTTATACTATGGGACTTACGATCTGCTAAGCACTCTGGGTCCTGCTCCACAAAGTAATCTTAGCACTATGACAGTCGTAAATCTATGTTAAAGTATGGGACTTATGATCATCTTAGCACTCCGGGCCCTGTTCCATAAATCGATCGCAGAGCTACGACTGTCGTAAGTCTATGATAAATTATGAGACTTACGATCATCTTAGCACTCCGGGCCCTGTTCCACAAAATTGATTGATCGCAGAGCTACGACTGTCATATGTCTATGTTAAATTATGAGATTTAGGATCATCTTAGCACTCCGGGCCCTGTTCCACAAATTGATCGCAGAGCTACGACTGTCGTAAGTCTAGCTTAAATTATGAGACTTACGATCATCTAGGCACTCCGGGCCCTGTTCCACAAATCGATCACAGCACTTTGTTTGTTGTAAGTCTATATTAAAGTGTGGGATTTACTATGGTCTTAGGGCTCAGGGCCCTGCTCCACAAAGCAATCATAGTGTTACGACTGTCGTATGTTGATCACAGTGCTACGTTTGTTGTAAGTCTATGTTAATGTATGAGAGTTACGATCAGCTCAGCACTCCGAGCCCTGCTCCACAAAGCAATCATAGTGTTACGACTGTCGTATGTCGATCACAGTGCTACGTTTGTTGTAAGTCTATGTTAATGTATGAGAGTTACGATCAGCTCAGCACTCCGGGCCCTGCTCCCCAAAGTGATCCTAGTGTTACGACTGTCGTATGTCGATCACAGTGCTACGTTTGTTGTAAGTCTATGTTAATGTATGAGACTTACGATCAGCTCAGCTCTCAGGGCCCTGCTCCCCAAAGTGATCGTAGTGTTACGACTGTCATAAGTCTATGTTAATGTATGAGAGTTACGATCAGCTCAGCACTCCGGGCCCTGCTCCCCAAAGTGATCGTAGTGTTACGACTGTCGTATGTCGATCACAGTGCTACGTTTGTTGTAAGTCTATGTTAATGTATGAGACTTACGATCAGCTCAGCACTCAGGGCCCTGCTCCCCAAAGTGATCGTAGTGTTACGACTGTCGTAAGTCTATGTTAATGTATGAGACTTACGATCAGCTCAGCACTCAGGGCCCTGCTCCCCAAAGTGATCGTAGTGTTACGACTGTCGTAAGTCTATGTTAATGTATGAGAGTTACGATCAGCTCAGCACTCCGGGCCCTGCTCCCCAAAGTGATCGTAGTGTTACGACTGTCGTATGTCGATCACAGTGCTACGTTTGTTGTAAGTCTATGTTAATGTATGAGACTTATGATCAGCTCAGCACTCCGGGCCCTGCTCCACAAAGTGATCGTAGTGTTACGACTATCGTAAGTCTATGTTAAAGTATGAGAGTTACGATCAGCTTGGTGCTACAATCGCCCAGGACATGCAAAACTTTCTGAGGCCATAATAAATTTTGCTGCAGGTCTGTGAACAAAGCCACCAGAAGTAGAAACTTGTGAAGGGCGACTGCTGAGTATTCTAGCTAGGGCGTGTTAAGAAGATTAATGTTAGATCAAGTAAGGGCAAATGTTGGCTTGCTGTGCCCTAAGCTCTGAGACAGAGCCTTGCAACTCCTGGAGTGGAGTAATGGAATTAGGCTTAAGAGATTTATGAGGTATTTGAGATAATCACCTATGCAAGTAAGAGATCAAGCAGATTGTGAACATTATTACCGTATTTAACCCACATGCTCCTTGTTGGTAGGTGTAAGCAACATTGTGCTTGTTAGGACACAAAGATGACCAGAGAGTTTAACCTGTGTATTGCGACATGATAAAAGCCATTATATAGAGGATATTATGTGAGTGTTTTATGTCATACTATGACATGAACACGAATATAATGTTCTATTTATTACAGAAGAAGATGTCTACATACAGAGACGAATTTGAGTGTTTAGCTATAAAGACAGCAAGTTGTTGAATGTTCAACAATCTTCAGCTATGGCATCGTTTTCAGTGTGACGTCATTCCGACCTCGCATCACAATAAGATTTGAATGACATCAACAATCTTCAGCAATGGCATCATTTTCAATGTGACGTCATTCAGACCTCACATCACAATAAGATTCGAATGACGTCAACAATGACATCTGGATGATGGAAACAATACACTGTTGTCTCGTGACGTGATATGACCCGAGGGTACATATGATTATTATGAAGCCCGATATGTTTGCCCTTGTAGGTAATAAAATAGAGTACCATCGTTCTACCTTTCTATGAACAATGTACAGGTAACATAATATGTGCAGTCATTGCGTACAAAAATACTTACTTTTATAGAGAATATAAATAATAATCCACAGCTCTTTTCAGACTTGTGGTCTATGTAGCAACTAGATTCGTAAGAAAACAAATACCGGAATGTAGATATTCACTGGTATTGAAACTATTCCATAAAGCGATCGTATACTAAGATTATTGTAACTGCCATACTTTAACACTGACACAACTGAGATTCCCTTCTGGAACGTGACTGGTGTGTTCAAGGCGATGTGAGGTGAAGTTAGGTAAAATAGGGTTAATATCACTTATATAGCGACATGCATGTGTGTGTGTCTGCTTGTACTAGTCAGGACATATGCCAGTTTAATAGTACTAGCACACTTCGATACCATGATGCAATTGAACACAGATACCCCACTCAGGCACATGACACTGACTTTGAGCCGACCAGTCCTTGTTTTAGCCCCTTAATTCTGAGCGCCATCCAGGGTAACAACAAGTACCATCTTATAACATCTTTTGCTATGACGCGGCCGGGGGATCAAACATGCAAGTCCCAGTCTCCAAACCATGCTCTATCCACTACACCAAGCATGGGGTTCAAGGGCATGTTCAAGTCTAATGGTTGTGTGTGGTAGACATTTTTTAGTTGGAATACAGTATACAAAGGCCAGGCATGACTTGTCCTGCTCGCCCCACTGCAGGTATTGATCAACCTGGCCTTATAAGTGGGCACTTTACATTCCTAAACGGAATTACCATATTGACACATATCACATGACTGATTGCACGAGTTACAACATCAGAACATGAGACACAGTCAGAGGCTACTTTGCGATTGATCTGTAATCAGATCATAGGTAATAATTAGGCAAGTAGCGCAGTACACATGCATGAGGAGTTCGGTATAAGTATATGTTAGAACATGCTTTGCTTTGAGTGTAAATTTTAAATACCTTCTTTTTAGAAAATACAAGGTCATGTATATTGGTCACAGATCTGTGGTGACCTTACGTTTGTCACAGATCTGTGGTGACTTTACGTTGGTCACAGCTCTGTGGTGACCTTACGTTGGTCACAGATCTGTTGTGACCTCACATATGGCTTTTCACAGATATTACACCACTAATTCATAAAACAATACCTGAAAAGTCCACAGGTCTAAGATGTTGCTGATGCATCTTGAGTCTTATTACAACAATACGATACACGATACATTTTTTACTGTATCGATACAAGATGATACACTCGCTAAAATAAAATATTTCTAACTCATTTAATGACCCCCAAGCGTTTTTGGTCAGTCAGTACTGCAAAATGTAATTAGCATTTCCAGTTATTAAAAACAGCCACTACGAAAATGTGTCTACAGCTAGCCTTTCCCTTTGAACCATTTATAGTTAAGAAGTTTCTATGAAATTTGACGAAAATATGCATACTGCATAACGCTACATATCGCAATCTATGAATCATCATATGTACTGTAACATGACCAGCTTGTATCGTGATACGTATTGAACCGTGAACAGCTTATATTGTCATACGTATTGTATCGTGACCAGCTTGTATCGTCATACGTATTGTATCGTGACCAGCTTGTATCGTGATACATTTTGTATCATGAACAGCTTGTATCGTCATACGTATTGTATCGTGACCAGCTTGTATTGTGATACCTTTTGTATCATGACCAGCTTGTATTGTCATACGTATTGTATTGTGACCAGCTTGTATGATGATACATATTGTATCGTGACCATCTTGTATCGTTTCACCCCAACACACAGCATTATATCTCACCTGGAAGCACCTGGGGCCTGGTTTTCCGGTCGGCATGGAGGTCTGAGCATGAATCTTCAGATCGCCAACAACTGCGATCATCGTCTTGCACACAATTCGTTCAATCTCTTCCCAGATCCACTCTGTATCGTGACCCATCGCGTTCATCTGCTGGAATACTGATGTCAGCTTACGCTTACTCCCTTCCTCGTCCTTCTCCGATTGGTTGAAAGTACTACTTCGCTTATTCAATGAATAATTCGTCAAATGCATGAACACTTCTTGCAAGTTTTTATTGGTCGGATTTTCGTATGGAATGGTAGAAAATCGGGCAAGGCCCTCTTTACATATATAAAACTCCAGCGGTTCCACGCTCGTCACTGTCACATACACTCGGAGATCAAATTTGAATTTCTCCAACAAAAACACATTGGACAAATATTCCTGGACTATATGGCAGCGGCCATTATGGCTGTTGTACTGCGTGGGTTCCCGGAGAAGGTAGATACCCTCGCCCTGCGAGCCCTCGCTCGGTTTGACAATATACGTGGGTTTCGGTTTCACCTTTTTCTCGGTCAGCTGTCGGACCTCGTTGCTGAACTCGTGAAACTGGTAGGGTAAAAACCATGAGCGGGGATAGAAGTCATAATCACTTGGGAACAGATTCCTCATGAAGTCCAGTGTTCGACACAGATTGATTTTACTTAACATTTCTTGTATCCCTGCAATGAAAATGCAATATTTTTTCTAAAATACATATACAATAAACTACGGTTATAACAAACTCAAAGGGACCACTAATGTTAGTTCGTTATAACCGTATTCGTTATAAGCATTTCGACTGAATTTCCTCTGTAGTCGTTGCATTTAAAGACTTTCAAAGACTATAGCCCAATCACTGTTTTACTATCGTTAACTGTGAGTGTTAATTGGGGTCAAGGTCTCAGTACTAATCCAGTTAATCACGTGGCCGCAAATGTTTTGATTGGCTGATCGGTGTCACGTGAGCAGCTCAGAGATTAACAGTTCATTATAAGTGAGTGAGTGAGTGAGTATGGTTTTACGCTGCTTTTTGCAATATTCCAACAATATCACGGGGGGACACCAGAAATGGGCTTCACACATTGAACCCATGTCAGGAATCGAACCTGGGTCTTCGGCGTGACAAGCGAATGCTCTAACCACTGGGCTACCCGACTACCCCAGTTCATTATAAGGAAAAGCATTGTCACTGACAGAGTACACGTGGGACCACAAATTGAGTTCGCTATATCCGTTATTTCGTTATAAGCATGTTCATTATATCCATTATTTTTTTTTATAAAATATACAGCCAATGGCCGAGACTGAAGAAATAGTGTGTTATATCCGTCAGTTCGTTATGAGCATGTTGGTTATAAATGTTGTTTACTGTAGATTACTCGAGCTGAGAACAAACCCTCAAGTTTGAGGTATCATGTGAATCAGATACAGATCTATACAAACATGCAACCAATATTATTTTCTATACCAAATATCACGTTCTCTCCTATGATGTTTTCGGGGGCACAGGTCGTCTAAAACGCCTCAATTCGCTGTGCAGTGTTGCCTCACTTGGGCATGCCCGAAACCTACGATTGTGGGTTCAAATCCCCATTTGCCTCGATTATTGTTTTAGGTTTGTTTGCACCCCATGCTCGCCAGCTTCACTTAGTGGTTAACATCTAAGACCTGCCTCACTTCGGGCTTTCCTCCCACATTAAGGTGACATGCCGTGCTAATGGGAGAGGGGGCACGGGTGGCCCAGTCGTCTAAGGCGCCGCGATTCGCTGTGCAGAGTTGCATCCCTTGGGCACGCCAGAAACCTATGATTGTGGGTTTGAATCCCGGTTCGACCCAATTATGTTTCTAGGTTTGTCAGCACCATACCCGTGCTCGTGGGTTTCACCAAAGTGGTAAACGTCTAAGACCTGCTTCACTTCGGGCTTTCCTCCCACATTAAGCTGACACGCAGCGATATAACTGGAATACTGTTAAAAGCGGCGTTAAACCCAACTCACTCACTCACTTCTAATGGGAGAGTTCAAATCACCTGTAGGGGGAGATGCTAACCTGCTTACACCACCTGGGCTACAACCATGAAGCCCTTTACACAGTAATGCAAAACCTGAGTCAAAGCTCACTCCCCTCTCATCAAAATCAAATCATCCACCCTCGGCATGGCACATACAGGGTAGTTACAAAAGGACAACCTGTGGAAAAATGGATACAGCAACCCTAGTGGTGTGACTATGAATACAGTCTTCATTAGAATATTTTCACCAATAGCTGTGAATGAATATTGATATGTCTATACAAATACCGCCGTGATATTGCTGGAATATTGCTAAAAGCGGCGTAAAACCATACTCACTCACTCACTATACAAATAATGGAAACGCTACCAACACAAATATTTCATTTTATCAACACCTTCACAGCAGAGCATGGCACCAATGTTGACTATAAATATTTAAAGTACTTATCAATGTCCCATGGACAATCGCCTGAATCAATCATTCTTTGCACCCCGTTGTTTCAGCCCTTGTAAACACACCCTTATCAGACCTGACAAGGTGATTTACCACAGCAGCACTGACCTCGTCAGACATACCAACACCTACTCATTCATTGACTAAAGTCAAGTGTTAAAAGCAGTTAAAAAACATACCCTGAAATTAATAGGGCATCTGTGAGTGTCTTTACGAGGGGCATGAGAACTTTGGTACACATTATGCAAGAACTGATATTAGCCAAATCACAAATGAATGTTCGAAACGGCCTGCTTCAATGATACTGCAATGCCCGTGACGTTAAATATTTGTATTACCCATGGTAATAGACATCGTATGATGTGCATATGAATCAATACATTTGAAGGAATTTGCAGCAGTTTCTTTAGGCTACAGAAGGAAACTTAGTTAACCAATATGTGACATGTCACACCCACACTCGAACTACTTCCGTTGCCAGGCTGTCTCAGGTATTGGCTCTTTCACAGTCAATGAGTTGGGATTAATCATCACTGGCGGATCGTGGTTGGGGTAATGGGTGTAGGGTGTGGGTGCTGGGGGTGTAGGGGGTGAGGTGGGGTGGGGGTGGGGTGGGTGAGGTGGGGGTGGGTGAGTATGAGGGTGCTGGTGGAGGGTAGATGAGTGATGTGTAGGTGTGGGGGCTGGGTGCTGGTGGGGTGGGTGTAGGGTGGATGAAGTTGGGGTGGGTGAGTATGAGGGTGTTGGTGGAGGGTGGATGAGTGATGTGTAGGTGTGGGGGCTGGGTGCTGGTGGTGTGGGTTGGTAGGGTGGTGGGGTGGTGGTGTGGGTGTAGGGTGGATGAGGTGGGGGTGGGTGAGTATGAGGGTGTTGGTGGAGGGTGGATGAGTGGTGTGTAGGTGTGTGGGCTGGGTGCTGGTGGTGTGGGTTGGTAGGGTGGTGGGGTGGTGGTGTGGGTGTAGGGTGGATGAGGTGGGGGTGGGTGAGTATGAGGGTGTGGTGAAGGGTGGATGAGTGGTGTGTAGGTGTGTGGGCTGGGTGCTGGTGGTGTGGGTTGGTAGGGTGGTGGGGTGGTGGTGTGGGTGTAGGGTGGATGAGGTGGGGGTGGGTGAGTATGAGGGTGTTGGTGGAGGGTGGATGAGTGGTGTGTAGGTGTGTGGGCTGGGTGCTGGTGGTGTGGGTTGGTAGGGTGGTGGGGTGGTGGTGTGGGTGTAGGGTGGATGAGGTGGGGGTGGGTGAGTATGAGGGTGTGGTGAAGGGTGGATGAGTGGTGTGTAGGTGTGTGGGTGTGGATGTAGTGGGGGGATGTCTCTTTGGGTTCAATTTATTAAGTTGCCATATTGTCCCCCTTTTCTCAAATCCCAGACCGTCTGTGTTAATACAATATATCAGTTATGTCATAGCATGTCCGCTTAATGTGGGATCTCTCACCTGGAGTGGTGCAGATCCCAAACATTTACCACTTTAATAAAAACCATTGAACATTGTCTGAAAAACCAAGGAACAAAAGCGGGATGAACCCACAATTCGAACTAATGTTCAGAGGATCCTGACACACCAAAGAGAAGCAACTCTGCATATCACAAACTTAGTGATATTGGGAAATGTACAACGAAAACATCAGGGAACTAGGTTTTTATACCACTATTAGCAATTGGCTTCACACATGGCACCCACATAGGGAATCAAACCTGGGTCTAAAGTGTGAAGAAATGACAGTAATAATGCTCTGTTGGCATTGTCTATGATATTTCTATTTCTATTTTTAGCCGATAACCATGTTTGGATTTCACATTAATTTATGCATATATTTTAGCACAGGGATCTTAAAAGCTATTTTTTATATTTTCCCTGTTTCTAACAGAATTCCGATGTAAGAACAAATGGGAAAGATTTATTCCCAGGAGGACAACAGACCTGGAAATTTGTTGACTCTCCCCGATGTGAGGTCGCTGTGGTCCTGGAAGCCAATCGCGTGCCAGTAGAAGTCACATGGTTCTCTCCGGGGCATGATGACCTGGAACATAGGAGTAGAGTGAGTGAGGGAATGCTCATCTACTCTACAGTCAGCAACATCGCTTCAATATCATGGCAACACTCGAGTCTCGGCCAATGGTATTATCAGTATGCCAGCCATATTGTTTCTGTTTTGTGGTATATTGGGTAACACAAATATATCAAGTTTCGTTATCATTTGTATTGTTTGAACTAAAATCTACACAGAAATTCATTCACAAATGATGTTTCCCTTTGAAAACGATTGACAAAACAGCGGAAAAGTGGAAGTGATTTTTCTCTCACATTGTTATCTCCCCTGTATCCATGGCAAAAAAATGGCGACAACTGACCATTCTGAGTAATACTTACTTTAGTACATAGAAAAAAGCATCTGCATGTCCAATAAGTATCAATCAGTGTCAAACACTACCAACATATATAAATTTAAGAACATGTTCCAAACACAAGGTCAAATCAAAGTAGCATTTTGAAATAACTGAACCCATCAATTGTGGCCTTGTTTTAGAGGTAAACATACACTCAATTTACAATAAGACAAAATTTTGTGTAAACCGAAAATAAGCTGACATTTATGCCTGCTTGGTTACAGCTTTTTTTTCATTTCTAATTTACAATAAGACAAAATTTTGTGTAAACTGAAAATAAACTGACATTTATGCCTGCTTGGTTACAGCTTTTTTTTCATTTCTAAGATCAAGACTGTTTGGGGGAACATAGAAGTAGTCCAATCTTTAAAAAATAAATTCTTTTTTATTAATTTAATATTTATATTTCCTTCCTTCACACATATCCTATTTTTTCCTCAGGCATTGTGACATCAATTTTTAATCTGCAGAAGTCTTTTGAAAAAAAAAGAGTGTTCTTAACTTCTTTTGAGTAGTATACATAAGTTTGCAGCATCCATAAAGAACGAGATAATGGTAAGTCTGGTTTGGTCTAATCTCCTAGCACTTGTCTAATTCTTCCACTGCAGTGACTTGCAGCAAGTCTATTGCCATTGACTTCCCATGATCAATCAGTCCTTTCTCTAACAAAAGACAAACCACTCAAAATGGCTTAAAACGCCTCCAGTAGATTCAAATAAAGCATTATCCAACGCTTGAGTTTCGATTTGATTTGCATGTACAACATTGTTTGTTACACTCATCCACAGCCGCCATCATACCGGGCGTGCTGACGACAATCACATGTTGTTCGTGTGGTCTCACTTAATCCTGTCTTTATATAACATAAATCAATAGCATAGCCAAGACTTGATAGCCTCGCTCAGGCGCCACTAACCACAAATTATTAAACCTCAATATTCCATTCTAGTTTTTCAGAATTATTTTGAAAACTAAATCATATTAATTTTTTCAATAGTTTTAGATTAAATTATGAGAATGGTATTTTTTATATGTTAATATAGTTAAAATGGAGACTTAATGCAGTCTAGTAATTCAATTAATGGCTTGTTAAAGCAGTGATTGTATTTACATGTATGTTGCCTGCAGTATACATGGTAACAACACAGAAGAATTGCCAAGGAAAGTTGTGTTTAAAAAAATCAATAAAAATATAAAAAAATATGTATAATTTAAAATGAAGTCAGGACTCAAAATTGAAACATGTTGACTAAAATTCAATTAAAAACATTCTCAGTAATGTTAGATTTATAGTAACAAAATCAAGATATTATTTGAAAGATGCATCTCAAGTTATTTTCCCAAAAAAATAAGATAAAAATGTTACATGATAGCAGGAGTTTGACATAGGAGTACTTCTAATGTGTCAAATATTGCTGTGTCAGTAACCATGGTTACATAATTTGAAAGATGAAGAGGTGGTAAAGAGATTGAACTATTTTGATTCAGGAAAACATATTTTGTTTAAAAACCTGCTCAGGTTAAGTTATTTGTTCGTCAAATTTAATCAGTTGTGAGGTTCAACGCAAAACTCACAGCCACAGGGAGATACTAAGCCTGACTTGCACCTCATTGTATTGTGAATATTTTATTCACATCAGTGAAATAGATTGTGGACAATTTCTTACAAGTTAGAAAACCCCTCTACAAAGACATACGCACTATCCAGTTACGAATAAAACATACAAGGAAACAGACTGAAAAAGATGGCAATTGTGAAAGGAAGCTATGGACAACGAGGTCCAATGTCACACAAACCGTATAGTCATATCTATAGAGTCATGTACAGATCTAAATGTCAGCTCATTTTTCGTTGTTACCATTGTGAGCTTTAAAGGTCACACTTGTTTTTGGCTCATGTGTTTTATTTCAGACACATAAGCCTCAGTAGGTTGAGATAAAAGATAAAATATATTTGAGTTTCTGAACATTCTTTAATTCTGGTTTCTATTATATAGTCATTTATTCAAGATGGGTTACTAAATTACTGACGCTGATTTGTAAATTGGGATCTGGTCATGTTTGGAGCACTCCAGCTGCAGGTAATGTCAAACAATTTCTTTCTGAAATCAAGTTATGTTTTAAGGCATCATGTACAAGACATTGTGCATTTTCCAGTGGTTCTAACACATACACATTTACCGTATTCGACGTAATAAGCGCCCCGCTCTAATAAGCGCCCATGGCGATATTTGCTAATATATTGGCTAGTGAACAATCCCAATCAGCACCCCTTCCGATTGATCAATGCACACAAGACTTATTTTTTCTTGTATAATACGCACTTGTGTGTTATATCACCCTTAATTATGGGCAATTAAATTCTTGAAAAATATATCTGTCGTATGTAATATTTCAGGCTGTTAGCATAAACCACGAAATTTACAGTTTTTCACGAACTCAAAATAATATTCTAATAAACGCCCCCTGTTTCTAATTTTGACAGCTCCCTGGGCGCTTATTACGCTGAATATGGTAGTTGTATTAAATATGTATTTGGTTGTGAAAATGTTATTAATGTTATCTCACTTGATAAATTTAGGACAGCTTTGACAAGGTTCTGTTCAAGTTGTCGTAATCTACAAATTGAAACTGGTAGATATGAGAGCATTGCCAGATGTGAATACCTTTCATACTTGTCTGTTCAGAATAGTTTAATTTGAGAGAGAAATATTTGCCCTTGAAATATGTAACAATGCCATCATTAAATAAGTTGTATTAATGCCAAATAAGCAAGAACATATTGCCCATAGTATTAGTTTAAATATTTACAATGCAATGCTTGTTAGGAGAAAAATACTGTCACATTGATTACACATTGTACCACATACACTGCAGTGGGCCATATCACAGTATATGGATCTGTAGTCAAGTCCATATTGAATAAAAGACTACCTTCTATTATTGTATGGTTCTATTGACACAGCACAAGAAATATTAATGGAGACTCGATAGACATGAAGAATAGGCTGGACGCATTGTTCATGGCTGGAATCACTGCCCTGATGGTCGGTGTGGTGAGTCGCGACTTAAACACAAGCTATCATAGTACAACTCTTTAGCTTTGGATGTTTATCGTGTTTACAGTAATTGCTTCTGTCAGACTTGTTTTCTTTATTGGTTGTTTTATAATTATAAATAATATGCACTGACTCAGTGATTACTCTAAAAAAATAAGTTGCTCTTTATTGCTATTTGTTGCTTTTTGTAGTTGGAGTCTGAGAAGATCCGGGGTAGAATAGGTCTTCAGCAACCCATGCTTGCCATAAAAGGCGACTATGCTTGTCGTAAAAGGCGACTAACGGGATCGGGTGGTCTGACTCGCTGACTTGGTTGATCCATGTCATCGATCCCAATTGCATGGATCGATGCTCATGATGTCAATCACTGGATTGTCTGGTCCAGACTTGATTATTTACAGACTGCCATCATATAGCTGGAATATTGCTGAGGGCGGCGTTAAACAACAAACACACCCTTGTAGTTGCATCATTTTGTTTTACCAATCCATGAAAGAACAGATAAACAAACAGGAAAATAAATTTTAATTACTGTTTTTCTTAAAATTCTGATTTATTCTGTTCAGTTGATCTGTAAACAATAAAAAACATACATAACCTCACAAACCGTCAAACTAGTCTATTGTTTTCATTGTATTATCCACTGGTGTAACAAACTGAGAAAACAGAAAAAACATAATAAAAATTCTGTATTTATTTTGTTGTTGCTAACCATTCATTCCGGTCAGTCGATTTGTAAATGGGAAACATAAAATAGTGTTGCCTGATGGACCGTCCAACAGTTCAAGTCCGTTGCTCACGATCTCACGTACAGCTGTCGCAGTTTACCTCCTGCCGTGTGTGTAGACCTCCATTATTGATGTGTAACCGGTCACAGGTACCCAAGTGTGGAATTAAACAACATTCAGAGTCAAGCGTCGTTGATCTCGGGGGAGATATAAAACTAGGATTGGTAGGTATGATTATCCACGGATGAGTAATCGTGGTTACTTTGTAGCATACAAAATCAATACAGCAATTTTATTATGTGTTGATATTGTTAAAGGTGGGTTTACTCACTTCGAGGGCTGTTGCTGATGGGTAAAAATATATGAATAATTCTTTTGTCTAAGATATTCCTCAATTCTTTTGTGTGACTTTAATCGGGAACAAGTTTCAGGTTGGGGTACAGCTGATTGGAAAGGGAGGGTGCATTGTGGATGTTGGGAATTCATACTGATAGTGGTGTCGTTTTCTCAAAAACACCAAATTTTGTGTTGTATTTAAGCCCCAGGATTCATTACGGAAAATAGAATTTTCGCATTTATTTATTAAACTAAATAGAATTTTCTCATTTAAAATATATCCGAAATTAAGCCCACCAATTTGGGAAGCTAACACTTTCTTACCTAAATAGGGGACACCCTTTGCTAAATACGTCAGAAACTGTTAAGTTGATTTAACTGAGAAAATATAAAACATGAATTTTAACTTTGAACCAGACTGTTGAATGCACATTAGAATTTGCCTCGTTTAGTGCATTGCCACGTATTAACTTTCGAAGGGAGTAAGTTATTAACTTAAGGAGGATCAATTCAAAATAAATATCTGAATTTAAGTCCATTGGCCTAAAGAAGGCTCATGAACATAATTATGAGTTGGCCTAAATACGGGAAGTCCCATCAGGAAAGAATAGTCTGTTCGTGGGCATCGCCTAATTTTGTTTTTTATAAACAATATATATAAACAAAAAATACTGCTTGGTTAGCTGATCAAATACCACTGAACCACTTGCAGTTTAATTGTAATACCCTAATATCTAAAAAACTACAGAATGTAACAGGTTCAAGGCATAGTAAACTACGTTTATAACGAACACGCTTATAACGAACTGACCGATATAACAAACTTATTTTTTAGCCCCAGCCATCTGTTGTATATATATGCTATAAATATGCTTATAACGAACTACGGTTATTATGAACTAACATTAGTGGTCCCTTTGAGTTCGTTATAACGGTAGTTTACTGTACGGTATGTTACAAGAAGGGCGGAGGTTGCTAGGGACCGACTTTCTTAAAACCCAAATTAGAGTGAGTGAGTGAGTGGGTATGGTATTACACAGCTTTTCAAGATGCTCTTTGAAAGGCATTTCGAAGTGATTCACATAATTTATCTTTTAAGATATTCAATAAATATCACGGCGGGGGACACTAGAAATGGACTTCACACATAGTACCCATGTGGAAAATCGAACCCGGGTCTTCAGCGTGATGAGCAAACGCTGTAACCACTAGGCTACCTCACTGTCCCTCCAATTATAAGAATGCTCATTCCATTTTAAAGTAACTCTGACATTAACCAATCAGTTTAATCTCCTGTCACACGCAGTAACCAAATAATAAACCCATTCCACGGATCAATGCCTTACGTCGATATGAAATGCATGCCCAGCCTATCTATATTCTTGATCGACCAGCTCCGAGTGGATTATCTCGGGCCCAGCGGTGCTGACAAGACAATCATGGAGAGAGAATATTTGCAAGTTTAATGTACTTGCTGCGGGATAATTATTGATTTGGAATAAACAAATATGTTTGATTGGCTTGACTATCTTTATGTATTTGTACTCTACATGTGATATGTTTACACAGTTGTGTTGGACATTGATATTATGACACGGTCACTACTTCTCGTGTTTGTGTGTGACAACACCGCCTCATGTTAGTTGTGTGTACACACTCTAGGTGTGGCTTATCGAAAATATGAATTGTCAATAACCTGTACCGTGTATTCTTTATTAAACTGCTACCAAGTACCTACCTGTACAGGTAAATCTAGGAGAATTACAGGGAACAGATTGTGAAGTGTGTGTGTGGTTCAAAAATTTAATTTGGTAGATGTTTGGCGATAATGTATATTAGTTAAGAATATTTTTTTTAATAATCTAAAATCATTTAAAATAATATCAAAAATAACCATATAAAAAAAATATATCTGTGTATGAATAGAAAATACTTTGTATGTAGATTGCAAAATCTATGCTATTTATGTGTTTCAAGAATTTTTTTTTAGATTATGCAGTTTCTTTTACAAGTCATATAATTTGTCGTTTAGGGCAATGGAAATAAGATATAAGTAATAAGTTAAAGTGATAAATCTGGTTCTGTTAGTAGGCTATTGTTCTAAGCTCTGAGGAAAAGAAAATGCTTTTCAACATCACGATGAAACTTAGTATTGTTGAAATGACAGCAATTCACACAGGACTACATACCCAGGTAATATACTGACCCATGGATGAATCCTGATTAATTCACACATCTCACAGTTTTAAAATGCAAAGTGAGTGAGTGAGTATGGTTTTACACCTCTTAGATCATTATTCCAGGTATATCATGGCTGGATTTAAAGTGAGTGAGTGAGTGAGTGAGTATGGTTTTATGCCACTTTCAGCAACATTTTAGCAATTCCACGGCAGGGGACACCAGGAATGGGCTTCACACATTGTACCCATGTGGGGAATCGAACCTGGGTCTTTGGTGTGACGAGCAAACGCTTTAACCACTAGGCTACCCCGCTGCCCCAGCTGGATTTAAAGCGTACAGACATTTCATTTGTCATTCTGAGGCCCAAAACCAATTATGTTTGGGAAATATTAATAATTGTTTATCAAGAACAGGGTAGGTCTTTAGTCTATATATTTTTAACTTTGTAACTCTCTTGGCATTTTATTTTCCAGATATGGTGACAGACTGAGACGGCAATGCACTATGCCATGAACTTTATATATCTTCCGTCCTGGTGTGCTAAAAATCTATGGTTCGCCACCTCACATTAGGATGGGCCAGGTAAAGGGAACAGCATCACTATTTTATAGTTCCAACTGCTTTGCATATTTAGTAGGATATTACTCTTCTGTGATAGCTTAATCTGTACATTCTTGTTACTGTCAACAAATTTAGTGGTCCAGAATAATGTTACTGGCATCGGTCTAGTATACACACATACCTGTGTATTTGTTAGGTTCATGAATTAACTTAGACATAGTAATTTAAACACTGAAACTCAGTGAGTGAGTGAGTGAGTGAGGTTTTACATCAAAGCCCCTCATTACATCAAGATCACCTCTAATTGCAATCCTGTACCCATGGTAACTGCTACAGTTCGATCAACCAATCTTCTTGTTTTACGTTACGCCACAAAGTGCATATTTCCATGCAAAGGTCATGTGTTGGTTTGACTCCAGACCCCTCGACACGGACAGGTCTAATCAAGGGAGTGCTCTGGTGGCTCAATTATATAACTGACCTATCACGCCAGTACATACCGTAATGCAATGTAACATTTGTCTTGAAGAAATAGACTGATTGACACAGGCAGTTTGAGTCAATCTTGAACATGCCAAAACAACTGCATTAAAATGCTCCATCACAGATGGTATCAAGTTTTACTTGAAACATGACAAAGCTATTTTCAACCTTCATGTGATTTTTTTAAAACACTTGAGGTTGTGTATCTGACTTAAAAATCTCAATTTTAAAATATTTACATTCACTCACAAATATTGAAGTTAACTATATTTCAAATTTATATCTTTCAAAATAAATTTTCGTTTTACAATGAATAAAGTGTTAAAAATTTATTATTTGGTTGCATTTATTAAATTATAAAGTATGATTATGATTAATTATATCTTGTAGTTATATGTTGATATGATTACAAACCCTAATGACAAAATGACAATTACAAAAACAGCCAGGAAACATATGCCAAACATATCTGCACATTTTTATATATCTGAACCATTTAATGACTTTTTAAAAATATAACAATCTATTCTACAACATATGGTAACATAAAATAAGATCATAATTCAATATACAGTATTAAACCATGGTATAAACTCATTTAACATAGCTGTTGCAACAATGTGGTGACTACATGTAGTTTCTAATACATGAATCAAATATATGGCTTTTCCACAATATATGTTGTATTTACAATACACACATTTTCAGTCAGTTCAATAAATTTCAATACCCTAAACTTCTATAAAGTATACTATATTCACTTTCCATGAAATTGTTGAAACAATGTTTTGAATAGTTATGATTTTTCACATCACTTTTTAAACTTTATGAAACAGGCATGATAAGTAAATTTCAATACCCTAAACTTCTATACAGTTTTCTATCTACTTTCCATGAAGTTTTTGAAACAATGTTTTTAATAGTTCCAAGTTTACTTTACTTTAAAACTTTATGAAACAGGCATGATAGGTAACTGAAAAAGTTTAATTTGTCACCTTTCAAACAGTTTGGAATTTCATTACTAAAGAATAACTTTTCTAAATTAATTAACAAAATTTAAACAATTGTCACTTAAATTAACCTACCTCTCTCCAGCCCAAATCGTGAATGCATCTTCGAACTACATCAATATTAGACCGTGCTTTGGAAGTATCCACCGTCACATGTCCCCTGTATATAGGCTTCAACAGTGGGGGTGGCCGCACCGCTGGGGGTACCACCAGCGTCGCTGATGTATCAGGGTGGCGCCGGTCCTCCCTAGGCTGTCGGCCGTCATCCTTACGGTGGCGGCTGTCGTCCCGTGGTAGGCGACCTTCATCCTTACGGTGGCGACTGTCGTCCCGAGGTAGGCGACTTTCATCCTTACGGTGCCGACTGTCGTCCCGTGGGTGGCGACTGTCCTGACTTTCAACTTTCTGATCACCCGAACTTTTATCTTGTCTTAACCTGGAGTCTCTCTCCTCTCGGTGTCGCGTGTCATTCTTAAGACTCTCTTCTCTATAAGATATCTCACGTCGTCTCAGTTCTCTCTCTTCTCGGTGTCTCATGTCCACGTCCTCTCGATATCTCCTCTCTCTGTCCTCGCGATGTCTCATGTCAGTTTCCTCGCGAAACCTTTTCTCTTCCCGTTGTTTCGAGTCATTCGCTTCTTTCGCTAACCTCTCCCGTCGCAACTGTGCTGCTTTCTTCAAAGCTAAGTCCCGACGACTGTGGTCTTGGGGCTTGCTATATGGGCTGTTTTCCAGCCTATTTTCCAACGGGGCACTCATGCTTCAATTTATGCCATATCTGATTACATTGTTAAGAGGCACATTTTGTTTCAAGTAAACGGGCACCTGTCAAGGCCAAGATATTGGCGATAACGACACTGAAAAATCTCTCCAGCGAATACAGGTCCGGCACACAGTCAAATTGGTCGCGTAATCTATGTGTTTGTATATACCATGTCACTATGCTGTATTGGATCATACCCCTCCACCGAAATAGCTTTTGACGGCCGCGCCATAGAATCCATTGTTATTCATTAATCATTCACATAGGGGAAGCTCCCGACATTTTGTGTACTTGCGTCCATGGCAACAGCCCCTCCCGCCCTGCCGGGCTTGATTGGAATACATAGAGCCTCGGGCAGCACTGGTCGATACCCGCTATTGTAACTACTGTATCTAAACAGATATAAACAGTCTTTGTCGAAGTAAATATTCTTCTCGGCTTCTGAGATTAAAACATTCTTAAAGAGTTTGACAATTGATCGAGTCGCACGTAAAATGTATTGGATTCGCTCGACTGAATCAATTTCCGACTCGTGTTTAATGGTTACAAACTTAGTTTTTTGTTTCTAATAAAATAGCGGAGGGGCATCCAGAGAGTCCGGACGCCCCTCTCCACCTTTTGAAAACCAAATGTAATATGGCGTACTCATCCTCACACACTGAGAGAAGATTTTGATATTTTGGACACCTCCCTTTTAAAAAATAAGAAGAATAACGGAAGTGAAAATAATTCATCGGGCAATAATCATCCTCGAAAATACAGAGTGTTATATTTCCATTTTATTATGAAAAATATGTATAATAAAAATATTGTTCAAATATGAATATAAGAAAATTATCATAAAAAGCGCGTGTCATTGATGATTATTCATTTACACAAGGGATTAATCTCTGACAGGCATTTACTGTGTGGAATAGGACCGGCGGTTGCTGGTGTTTTCTGTGTTATTTGTTGGCAATAAACGCCAGTGACCGATTGTTGATTGTTATTTTAATTATTCACAATGTCAAGATCAAAGATCTTCAACAATGTATGTAATGTTATTTTTTTTTGTAGGATTAATAGAAATAGCAGAAACAGGAACTGTAAAACGGCTAAGAATCACCAGAAAGATACCCACGGCAAACATATCGGCAAATGAAAACATTTGTCACCGATGCGCCGGAAATTTTAGGCCCGGGCCCCGTTCCACAAAGTGATTTTAGCGCTAAGTCGATCGTAACTCCCATTCTTTAACACTGACTTACGACAATCGTAGCGCTAAGATAGCTTTGTGGAACGGGCCCGATTGCGGAGCGTGTGATTTCAGCACTTTCACTTGGACATTTAAATAGTTTATACGAATATTATTAATTTTTTCTCTTGAAAATTGACTAAATGTTTCTTGGAAAATTGGTATTTGCAGTCATTTATTTTTCACTTTAGTTGCATTTTAACTTCTTTTGATTTGTATATATTTTCCTGTATCGGCGGAGTATATTTATTGAATATGTCGTGGGACCAGGCTGTACATTAAGTAATCGCTTGTATAACTATCGTTTATATGACAACTGATGATTTGTTTGTTTGTTGTTGTTGTTTATTTATTAACGCCGCACTCAGCAATATTCCAGCTATATGACGGCGGTCTGTAAATAATCGAATCTGGACCAGACAGTCCAGTGATTGTCATCATGAGCATCGACCCACGCAATTGGGATCGATGATATGCATCAACCAAGTCAGCGAGTCTGACCACCCGATCCGGTAAGTGACCTCTTACGACAAGCATACCCGGTAGTCGCCTTTTACGGCAAGCAAGGGTTGCTGAAGACCTATTCTACCCCGGACCTTCACGTGTCACTGATGATTTGACGCATATCCGTAAATATCGTGCTGGAATTAATTAGCTGCTAATTTATATTTAATTTACACTTCCACTCCACGTCTGTATAGGACACAGTGACATTACTTGTATATACAAATGTGTTTCTGTATACATTTATATTCGTTAACTGATGTATGTTTAATTCTTGAGATTCGTTTATTAACTTTTTAAAGTATTTTTAAATCATGCTCTACAGAATGTCATTCCACGATCAGTACGAAATCCCCACTACTGGAAGCATTCGTAAAATGTGCAAAACATTTGTCGTCAATCGAAAAAGCAACAACATAATTTAAGAATCGCTCCACGATAATGAGATATTTGGGGCGTAGGTCTTGGTCGTGTACTTAATCATAACTCCCGTGGACTAGAGGATACAGTGTCTGCCCGGAGAGCGGAAAGTAAGTGTTTTGATATCCCTGGTCTCGTCATACCAAAATAGGGGGCACGGGTGGCCCAGTCGTCTAAGGCGCCGCGATTCGCTGTGCAGAGTTGCGTCCCTTATGATTGTGGGTTCGAATCCCGGTTCTTCCGATTACATTTCTAGGTTTGTCAGCACCATATCAGTGCTCGTGGGTTTCACCGAAGTGGTAAACGTCTGAAACCTGCATCACTTCGGGCTTTCCTCCCACATTAAGCTGACACGCCGTGATATAACTGGAACACTGTTAAAAGCGGCGTTAAACCCAACTCACTCACCCATACCAAAATACTTAAATTACCAAAATTCAACATGGTACTTGTTGTTACCCGGCCTAGCTCGACACCAAAGGGATAAAACACGAACGTGTCGGTTCGGAGTCAGTACACTTTGTCTGGGTGGGCTATCCATGTTAAACTGTGGCATGGTATCTCAGTCTGCTAGCACTATACAACCGAACTAGTACACCCAGCCATTTTGGGGAGAGTGTATTTAGTTATAAGTTTGATCCTTTCATTGATGGTATTGTCACCAGGAAGGCAACCTCCATTATCTATTCACTGGCCACATTTCACTTCAAACATTTTACAACCTCACTTCACCCAAAGAAACCAGTCATTGGACTGAAAGGTAGGCCCGTGAAGATTCGGGGTAGAATAGGTCTTCAGTAATCCGTGCTTGCCGTAAAAGGCGACTATGCTTGTCGTAAAAGGCGACTAACGGGATTGGGTGGTCAGGCTCGCTGACTTGGTTGATGCATGTCATCGGTCCCAATTGCGTGGATCGATGCTCATGTTGTCAATCACTGGATTGTCTGGTCCAGACTCGATTATTTACAGACCGCCGTCATAAAGCTGGAATATTGTTGAGTGCGCCGTTAAACAACAAACCAAACCAAAACCAAACTAAAAGATAGACATATACATATACCCTTAAGAAATGTTGTATTACACAAGAAATGTGTCAGTTTCATTTTTGTTCTAATGCGAATGTTTTGTGTGGAATTTTGCCAGCTTGATTTGCTTGTTTTATCACCTACTATCATCTAGATTTACTTTGATGAAATGAAGATATTCCGCAGTCATTGTGCAGGGTTGCTTAAAAGGTGGATATATAAATTTATAAACTAAACCAGAGACCATATATTGGTATTTGATCTCTGACTAAACTAAAAGTTTCCTTAACAATATTTCGTTTTGTAATTACAACATGGCTTGTTCATCTAACGATTAACAGGCTACCCATGTTGTTTTTGTATATGCTGAATGTTCACCCAGTAGTGAATGGATACCCGGTAGGATAAGATGACTGTTTACCTTCTAGAGCCTCACAGGCAGCACGGGTTTCATACTCCCCAGGGAGCTGAGATAGAAAATCGAGCGCACACTCTTCCTGGGTAATAATGTACCGCTTTGAGCATGCTTTAGAGTGTGCATTTGGCGCATTGAAGACCTGTTCATTTGTGTGTTTCGCCTCGTTCAAAGATTTATATAACAAGAAGCCCTTTCTGGTTATGTGTATTTAAAAACTCCTAACAGAGTCATTTTATCAAGAATCTGCTTAGTAAGGAGTATTGGGTTAGTTATGAACGAGTTGTCGCCCTTTAAAATGTAAACAACAATGGCGGCGTTTTTGAATAAGCCGAGTGATTTCTTCAAACCAAATGTACCAAGTATGTTTTAGGTCGATCCAACCGTCGAGAATGATAACATATCTATCTTTTATGATTAATTGTTTGTTTCACATGAAGTTTATGCCTGATTATGTACACTTTTGACATGTTTGTGTCACTGACATGTTGAGGCTTGCGCGCACTGGACATGCTTATAAGTTCGTGATGACAACATTTATCGTTTGTATTTCACGACGTTCACAACATTCCACGGGGCAACTCTGACGAACACAATAACATCTGTATTGACGTACTGCTATAATACCCAAGGAAACGTTATGCGATTTCACCATGTTCACTGTTTATAGTTTTACTTGCTGATTTTCCTTGGATGTTAGGCCTAGATCTATTCCGTATTCAGTGCCAATCTCTCTAGACAGTTCTTGAGAAATTGTATTTCAATATAGACTTGAATATTTCGGATTCAATTAGCGCCGCACACAGGATCGAGGTCAAGTTGCCAGCTAGAAGCTAAGCGAGGCTAAAGAGTTAATCTAATTAGCAAACACTTTACCATGGATCACAGGCGCTATTAGAAATAACAAGTGCTCATTTACCAAGTGATGAGCACTGATTGTTTACCTTTATGCAAATACACAGTAGCCATTTTCTCTGCCAAACTTCATAAAAATGTAGGGATCTTCCTCAAATTGCATAAGACTATTTTGTTAAAAGAGATGAGATAGCTAACTCATACCCTCATACGTTCATGATGCTAACTGTCCCTACAGACATGAATCCCCTGGAGTTGATGCCCCCCAGTGTGTTCGAGAGCAGCAGCCAGAGGAAGAACGTGAAGACCCAGGAAGACCCTTGGCAAGAAGTCGCCCGTGCCAAGGAGGAGTTCAACAAACTCAAACAAGAAATTGAAAACTTGAGGTATAAACCATGTGTGGTGATCAGCATGCCAAAGTAGTAAACATCTAACACCTGCTGTATTTCGGGCTTTTCTTGCACTTTAAGTAGACAAACCATGATATCGCTGAAATACTATTCAAAGTGGCTTCAAAACAAACTCACTTTCTCTTGATTAAAAAGAGATTACTCTTAGGTGTTAGCCCAATATCCTATCCCTCTTTCACTTTATCTTGATTGACCTGTGTTTTGTTTATATATGGTAATGACTGGTTTCTTTGCAGAAGTGAATTAATATAATTATCACCATCGTTAATCATGACTAAGATAGCTTTGAATTAAAAGCAAAAACTGTTTTGGAAATTTTGAATGCTTATTATTTGTTTATTTTTTGTCACAGAATTGAAAGGCAAAGATCTGCTGTAGTCCCAGAGGTAAGCTGTCTCTTTCCTTATAACACAATTGACCTATCTAAGATACAGTTTAATGTCAAACAGACTACAATAATAATAATAATGTGGATACATACTGTAAACAGCTTTATTTCTGCGCCGTTAAAATATTGCGAATACCACACCAAAGACAATACTGCGACGAGATATTTTTGCGAGTTGCCGTGTTGAGATGACCCCTCGATTACCAAACAATAGACAGCTTCTCTCCGAAGCTAGTAAATCTGAGTTGGCCGGAAAGTTGACCGGAAGGGATTGCGACCAATTATCTAATACGATAATTGACTCAACTCAGTGTCATGACTGTGAGTTTGAATGCAAACTATATAAGAAGACACTAATTGGTCTGTTTACACTGTCATTTGTGATGTATTGTGTGACCATTCTGCATGCATTCGTGTTTTTAACTTATTGAGTAACTTGTGGTTCGGGTTGATGATTTCAACATTTGATGACGTGTTGCAATGAATAAAGTATGTATGTATTATTTATACATATTTTTGCTTTTTTAACTTTTGCGATTGAGTCTCGTTCGCAAAACTCGCAATAATAAAATGGTCGCAAAATATTCCCTGTTTACAGTATATGATGTGCCAAATGCACACCCCAAAACATGCTCAAAGCACTACAATATTACCCCAATGGATCAGTGTGCACTCAAATTTCATTCTCAGCTCCCTGGGGAGTATACAACCAAGGCTTCCTTTTGAAGGAAGGTCACACTACCATCTCATTCTACCAGGTAGCCATTCACTACTTGACAAAGAGAAGCATATTTGGAACAAAATCACTTGCCCAAGGACACACCACATGTGCTACAGAAATGTGACTTTTAACCTTCTAGGACCCCACAGGCAGCTTGTATGCTCTCCAGGGAGCTGAGAATGAAATTCTAGTACACACTGATTCAATGACCGGGGTAATAATTCTCTGTATGGTTTGAGCGTGATATCGAGCATGTAAAAGTGCCATACAAATGGACAATTATCATTATAATTTATATCATTTTAGACACAAGCACCTAAGGTTCACATTGTACACCAGCCGTCATCAAAAGAAGAAACTAAATATGCCGATGAACTCATCAGTCGTCAGTCCCGGGAGATTGAGAACCTGAAGAGTGAGATACGATCTCTCCAGCATGAGCACAAGGAGAACATGTCTGACGTGGAGAGACAGATGGCGCTGCAGGAGCGGGAGGCCAATCACCGGGTGTCCGGGCTGGAGATGGCTGTGCGGGAGAGTGAGGAGAGATATGAGCAACAGGTACTTCCTCATACTGACTCTAATTAAATGGGGCTGCAAGTTTGTTATTCCAACTGGCAAGGTCACTAGGCTTTTCTCTTTCTTTGAGGGGGCATGGGTGGCCCAGTCGTCTAAGGCGCCGTGATTCGCTGTGCAGAGTTGCATCCCTTGGGCATGCCAGAAACCTATGATTGTGGGTTCGAATCTCGGTTCACCTGGTTTATGTTTCTAGGTTTGTCAGCACCCTACCCGTGTGGTAAACGTCTGAGACCTGCATCACTTGGGGCTTTCCTCCCACATTAAGCTGACACGCCGCGATATAACTGAAATACTGTTAAAAGCAGCGTTAAACCCAACTCACTCACTCACTCACTCTTTCTTTGAAGTCAGAAGGCAATCTTTGAGAGAGATTGATGTTGATTATTGATATCTTTATATGTCATCAATGTATTGCAATTGGACCATTGATAATTGCAAATCAATGTAGCTAGATCAAGGGAGCTAATTGATTATAAGAGTCCAGTTTCCACCCTTGCCAAACTAGGCTGCCATTTTGTATTGAGTAAATGAAGGTAATATGATAGGTGCAATCTGATTGGTCAATAGGAGGGACTTGAAGGGACATAACTCTTAATAGCCACTCGTGTGCTACTATCGAGCCACGAAATTCCAGCCTAGTTCGGCAAGGGTGGTAACTAAACTGGACTTCTATTGTCAGTTAAATCCCTTGCCACAGGAAGATGAGCAAAACTAAACTATTGTTATATCACTCAGTGATAGTAAGTGGACAGTCCATTTTGCAGCCCATTTAGCAAGCCAATTGTGATAAAAGTGTCCATTATCTTGCAGTTTTTGAACTTAAGGGTCCTGGGCCGACTTGCACAAAGCAATCTTAGCGCTAAGACTATCGTAAGCTTATGTTAAAGTATTGGAGTTACGATCATCTTAGCGCCTAGATTGCTTTGTGCAAGTGGGCACTGGGGTCCCTGAGGTTTGCTCCTACAGTATTTGCATCTAGAGATAAGGGTGAAACGATAAATTGTTGCAACGTGATATGTTTTTTTCTGAATTGATACATACAGACAAAACACTTGCTGAAATATAATGCTTCCTACTCATTTAACACGTTTAATGACCGTAAGCATTTCTGTCAGTCAAATATCACAAGATGTGTTGTAATTAGCGTTTCAAGTTCACTATTAAAAATAGCCTCTACAAATATGTGTCTACAGCTAGCTTTTCCTTTTGAACCTGCTTTGAAATGTTTATTAAGAAGTTTCCACTCGATTTGATGTAAATATGCACATCACCATATGTATCATATTGTGATCCATGTATCGTGATAGGTATCATATCGTACCTTGCTGTATCTTTCACCCCTATCAAGAGACCCCCCAAATTTTCAACCATTAACATTAGGTTTAGGGACTCGGTGACCTGGTTGATTGCATGTCATCATAACCTGACGACATGGATCGTTGCTCACAATATCGATCACTAGATTGTATCTTTGTTTTGAATATTTACAGTCCGCTACCATATAGCTGTAATATTGCGTAGTGCAGCATTAAACAACACATATATATATATACTGCCTTTGATCTGACCACCCACCAATCTAGAGTGTACCATACTGATCCCCAGGTGGACCGACTGAGTCATCAGCATCAGAAGGAGGTGGACGACATCAACTCTGCACTGGACAACACCACCAGGGAGCTAGCCGAAACAAAGTCGCAGTACGTGGCTCGCCTGCGTGGTCTGGAGACCGAGATTGAATCTCTCAGATCAGAATCTGCTGCCACCATCGCTCAGCTTGAGGCAGAAGTCAGGTTAGTGTGGAGAGATTGAGTCTTTTACCTCTAGGCAAAGATCAGGTTAGTGTGGAGAGATTGAGTCTTTTACCTCTAGGCAGAGATCAGGTTAGTGTGGAGAGATTGAGTCTTTTACCTCTAGGCAGACATCAGGTTAGTGTAGAGAGATTGAGTCTTTTACCTCTAGGCAGAGATCAGGTTAGTGTGGAGAGATTGAGTCTTTTACCTCTAGGAAGAGATCAGGTTAGTGTGGAGAGATTGAGGCTTTTACCTCTAGGCAGAGATCAGGTTAGTGTAGAGAGATTGAGTCTTTTACCTCCAGGCAGAGATCAGGTAAGATTGAGTCATTGAGTCTTTCTTCTGCAACCATAGCTCAGCTCAAGGTGCATGTGGAGGTGAGGTTAGTGTGGAGATTAATTCCAATGAAACAGAATTGATGTGTTAACTTAAGGACAGCATCTATGTTACATGATGGACGACTTGTCCTGTAAATATACCATTTGTCAGAATTCTTCAGTGTCATTCTCCTGAGACACATCAGAGTGATGATGAAAATGTTGTTATTAATGATGATGATGATGATGTAAACATGATGATGCTTTTGGTCTCCAGATCAAAGTCTATGCTTGCTGACAATCAGAATCAGCAAATCTTGCAACTGAAGACCTACATCGGGGAGACAGAGAAGACGTACCAGCCAGCAGAGGTGTGGAGGAGAGAGAGGGAGACGCTCAATAACAGAATCAAGGTCAGTCCATCAAACCAAGCTCGACTCACTGGTTGATGGTGTTGTGGTGAAGCAATTTGCTTTGCAGAGTTGCAACCCTTTTCAATGCCAGGATCAGTTGGTCATGGGTTTCTAAATCCAGGTGTGCTCAGATTTTTACCTAGGTTTTCAACACTGAACCTGTGCTTGTGGGTTAACTAAATTGTCATTACCTGACAAACTATGATATGACTGAAATACTTCACGTGGTGTTAAACCCACTCAAAAGTCATGCATCAATTGTTTGAATCCTCTTGTCAAGACTGTTGTTTCCATGTTCTCAGTGTCATGTCAAGGCTGTTGTTTCCATGTTCTCAGTGTCATGTCAAGGCTGTTGTTTCCATGTTCTCAGTGTCATCTCAAGGCTGTTGTTTCCATGTTCTCAGTGTCATGTCAAGGCTGTTGTTTCCATGTTCTCAGTGTCATGTCAAGGCTGTTGTTTCCATGTTATCAGTGTCATGTCAAGGCTGTTGTTTCCATGTTCTCAGTGCCATGTCAAGGTTGTTGTTTCCATGTTGTCAGTGTCATGTCAAGGCTGTTGTTTCCATGTTATCAGTGTCATGTCAAGGCTGTTGTTTCCATGTTATCAGTGTCATGTCAAGGTTGTTGTTTCCATGTTGTCAGTGTCATGTCAAGGCTGTTGTTTCCATGTTCTCAGTGCCATGTCAAGACTGTTGTTTCCATGTTGTCAGTGTCATGTCAAGGCCGTTGTTTCCATGTTCTCAGTGTCATGTCAAGGCTGTTGTTGCCATGTTCTCAGTTTCATGATAAGGTTGTATGTTCTCAGCATCATGATGTTTTCGGTGGTGTTTCAGATTTACGCTGCTGAGAAGGACAATCTAGAATCCAACATGGAGCTGGTCAACATCCGACTCAAGTCAATGTCCGAGATTCTCAATGTACAGGAAGCAGAGCTGTCCAAGGTATGTCAATATGAACTTGTCAGTAGCTCCAGAATATGTGTAACAAACAATATAGCTTTAATTGTAATCAATGTAAACAATAAATACAAAACAGTTAGAGATGTCTGTATATATCATGGCAATCATTTTCAACAACAATGTGTTTTTCTTGCTGTTTTTCTCATGCTTACTGACCAATATCCTTGTGTGGTATTGATGCATGTAGTATTCCCCAGTGGGAATTCCAGGTTAGAAATGGTCTACAGTGTGGATTCCTGGTTAGAACTGGTCTCCTGTGTGGATTCCTGGTTAGAATTGGTTTCCACTGGGGATTCCGGGTTAGAATTGGTCCCCAGTGGGGATTCTTGGTTAGAAATTGGTACCCAGTCGGGAATCCAAGTTAGAATTAATCTCCAGTCGGGATTCCAAGTTTGAATTGGTCCCCAGTCAGGATTGCAGATTAGAATTGGTTCCAAGTGGAGATTCTAGGTTAGAATTGGTCGCCAGTGGGAATTTCAGGTTAGAATTGGTCCCTGTTGGGATTCCAAGTTAGAATTAATCTCCATTTGGGATTCCAAATGAGATTTGGTCCGCAGTCACGATTGCAGATTAGAATTGGTTCCCAGTGGAGATTCTAGGTCAGAATTGGTCCACAGTGGGGATTCCGGGTTAGAATTGGTTCACAGGCTGTGTCACTTCGTTGATAATACTCTGTCAGTGTCGATCGTTGCTCATAATACTAATCACTGGTTTGTCTGGTTGAGACTTAATTATTCACAGGCTGCCAGTATAGAGCTGGAATATTGCTGAATGCAACGTTACACAACAAACAAACAAAATTCTAATTGGTTGAAGGTGTGAACAGATTGAGACACTGTACGCAAAAGAAGTTAAAGAACACCCAATTATTTCATATTACTGTAATTTATCTGTCATGGCATGTGGTACTTGTTCACTTTAGAGGCATCTTTAGTGAAGTTTGGTTCAGTCCGTAACCTCATCTGATATAATACCGTATTCGACGTAATAATCGCTCTGTTCTAATAAGCGCCCATGGCGATATTTGCTAATAATAGTAATATATTGGCTAGTGAACAATCCCAATAAGCACCCTTTCCGATTGATCAATGTACACAAGACTTATTTATTCGTGTATAATACGCACTCGTTTGTTAGATGCACCCTTAATTATGGGCAATTAAACTCTGGAAAAATATATCTGTCGTATATAAACATTTCAGGCTGTCAGCATAAACCACGAAATTTACAATCTTTCAACTCTGTTTTTTCCACCAAAATAATATTCTGATAAGAGCCCCTATTTCAAAATTTGAGAGCGCCCTGGGCACTTATTATGTCGAATACGGTAGTTCATATAAATAACTCTAGAATTTTGTGATTGTGAATAGTGTGAGTTTTAGGTGGTGTACATTTATCTTGCAGGCCAAGTGTGAGAATATTTCCAGTAGTAAGCAGGAAGCTTTGCTCCTGACCAGGTAGGAATATACTGACGTGGACTTACGTTTTGTTTTGCATGTTTCGTTATGTTTATGATCCTGAGGTTGGTGCATGGATATGCAGCTCCACGCCCCTTTTTGAAGTATACCTATGTTGACGTATTTAAATGCTATAACTGAATCATATGGGAATGTTTGAACAAAAACAACAATTGTGACCTTATGGGTGAAAAATCTCATATTGACTTCTCGTTATATTTTAAAACTACAGTATCTTAGGAACACAAAAATACAAATCACAAGTGTCAGTTCATATTTATTACAGAGATACATGGCATTAAATATTTGGACTCATTTTCTGCAAAGTCCCATTTTCAGACTCATAACTGTTAATGTAATATTAATAATGAGTGAGTGAGTTGGGTGTAACGCCGCTTTTAACATTATTCCAGTTATATCATGGCGTGTCAGCTTAATGTCGGAGGCAAGCCGAAAGGTCTTAGACGTTCACCACTTCTGTGAAACCCACGAGCACGGGTATGGTGCTGACAAACCTAGAAACATAATCGGGGTGAACCGGGATACGAACTCACAATCATAGGTTTCTGGCGTGTCCAAGGGACGCAACTCTGCACAGCAAATCGCGGCGCCTTAGACGACTGGGCCACCCGTGCCCCCGTTTATGTAATAACTGCAGGTTTTAGATATGATGTCAGATTAATTTAACCTTGACATGTATGCTGAAATAATGATTTTATTACATTACGAACTAAGGGGAGAAAAATAAGAATTAAGTAATGTAGGATAAGTATACAAATATAAAAAATATCTTGGATATCTAGTATTTTTGTACAGTCCGCACACATTGCGATATTTACGGAAGTAAGTCGACATCAAACATCTTTCTTAATGATGACACAGCACAAATGTATACTCTTACCCATAAGGTCCCCTTTCTCCTGTTGGGTAGCAATTGTCTAATTTCGGGCTAACAATTGTTTTCCGGGTTATTTCTGTTATTTTCACAGTACTAGTGCACCCCCATTATTTCGCCTATGTCTTAAGGCTGTATGTGCCCTTGTTTTGACCTCAGGTGTGTCTGTGTTCTAGGTGGCGGGACAAAGTTTTCGCACTTTTGGTTCAGCAGAAATCTGCTGATATTGTAGCGAAGAAGAATGAACAGAACTGGAGAGAGAAGGTGAGAGTGTGGTAGGGAGGTGGGAGATTTCGGGTGGTTGATACTTGCTAGCTATGGGTCTGGTCAAAAGATCCATGAAGCTAACACACAAAGTTAAAATATTTTGAAGGGTGGATTGCTAAAAGCAGAGTAAAACCAAACTCACTGACTCACTCACTAACAAAGCTGACAAGACTCTGAATAAGCAACTTTAATGCAGTTTCTATTATTCCACAACTGTGTCAACCTTTACTGTATGGTGATGGGTTTCAATGAAGTTTTAAATGTCCACCTACATCACTTGGTTAGATTATTGGTTAGAGCTGATCCCCAGTAATATCAGCTGGTCAGGCTTTCAATATACACCAAAGGCTGGCTATCAATATAGATCATAGAGATCGATAATCACTTACTTAATATCAAGCAATTGTTGATAAATATTTGAGAAGTAACTTTAAGCAAATACACAAAAGTCCCGAAAGAAATCAACACATTTCATGCCACTGGTGAGCAGTGACACATATATGCATCGATTACTTTGTGGACATTTGAGATATAACAAAAGCCGTTGCTATCCATCTTTGACAATTGACATGATTGACAATAACAAGTCTGTTTCGGTAAATCTAAACTTTATTTCATCACATTAGTTTATGTAAGTTATTATCAAAGACAACAATTTCATATTGATAATCGTTACTACTTCTTCCCATCGATCATAGATAGAGGATATTTTATGAGTGTTTTCTGTCATGCTATGTGTATGACACGAGTGTCTAAAGTCTCGTATTTCCCTAGTGAGAGCAATATACACCAAATGTGGGGGACAGGGCTCATAATATCAACCACTGGTTTGTCTGGTTCAGACTTCATCCATTCAAGGCTGCTGGGTTGTTGCAGGAAATTTGCTGTTTGCAACAACATTCTCTAAGACATTTCTTTGGGCTTTCCTCCCATATAAAGCAAATATACTGTGATGTGAGAATAGGTCTTCAGCAACCTGTGCTTGCCATAAGAGGCGACTAACGGGATCGGGTGGTCGGGCTCGCTGACTTGGTTGATGCATGTCATCGTATCCCAATTGTGAAGATTGATGCTGATGATGTCAATCACTGGATTGTCTGGTCCAGACTCGATTATTTACAGACTGTTGTTGCTATATAGCTAGAATATTGCTGAGTGCAGCGTTAAACAACAAACAAACAAACAAATAAACAAACAAACAAATCAAGTAACATTAATCCTGACTAACTGACCAGGTGAAGCACTTGGAGGAGCAGCTGGTGTCTAGTGGGAGTCGGGTCGAGGTGCTCACTCACTCACTGATGGAGAAGAACGCCCAGCTGCAGATGGAACAGAACAACTGTCAGGTAGTGGAACGTCTCCTGTTTGAGTGTTCAAGTCACATGGCCCCTATCACACAGCGACTGTAGTGGTATGACTTGCCATTCAGGGATTTATCAAGACTTTCTGAGAGGCTGATATCTGGGTCAGATGGGAAGCAAATGTCAGAACAAAATTGGAATTAAGAATTCCTGTTTTTCTTGTTATAACTCATGTTATTGACTTACATGTCAATGACAACAGGAACCGTAAAAAAGGAAGAGTCTTAAATGTTTACCGGTAGTTTTACATTTTGGAATTGAATGAAATCTTAAATTTACCCAGATTTTTATAAATTTTGAACCAAATTTTGTCTTTCCCAGTTTCAGTTTTAACTTACTGTGCTCGTTCACTTATGTGATCTGTTTCCTGTCTTCGCTTAAAATAGAGATACCAAGAGGAGATAACTCAAGCCCAGCAGGTGGCACTGTGTCTCGATGACAACCTATCTCAGAACAGAACCAGTGCCGAGGGTCTGCAACAGTTGGCACAGAGGTACCAAACACTTTCTCAAATTATTGGATTGTTCTGTGTCTGCCTGCTGCAATTCTTCCATAGTGATCTAGTTCATTGTCTCCAGCTGATCCGTGAAGATCCAGGGTAGACTACGTCTTCAGCAACCCATGCTTGTCCTAAAAGGCGACTATGCTTGTCGTAAGAGGCGACTATGCTTGTCGTAAGAGGCGACTAACGGGATCGGGTGGTCAGGCTCGCCGACTGGGTTGATGCATGTCATTGTTCCCAATTGCGTAGATCAATGCTCATGATGTCAATCACTGGATTGTCTGGTCCAGACTCGATTATTTACCACCGTCATATAGCTGGAATATTGCTGAGTGCGGCGTTAAACAACAATCAAAACAAACATTGTCTCCAGCTTGTTAGAATTGTGAGACAATAAGCTGAAATATTTGTTATCAAGTTCATTTTTCTTTTGGAAGCATATGGGACAAAGCGCGTCAATAGCAGATGGTTTGAAGACATGACATGTTTATGAATGATAACTTCTTTATTATTCTTTATTATTCTTCTTATCAGTCTTCATGTTCTTCCTACTTCTAAATGTTTATCAAAGACTGGAGCAGACGTTTTCAAAGAGCAATTCTTTTTGACAGTCAAGATGAACATACCGGTAAAAAAAACCTTTCAAAATGTCCAAAAGATTTATTCAGATTTGGTTTGATATGGAAAAATGTCCTATCAAAATAAATCATGCATATTAGGCTTAAAAAAATAAAAGAATTGGTTTGTTGTTCAAACTAGTATGTTACCAAATAAAAAGTTGTGCAGCCTAATAAACAGTTGTTTACAATCAACCTGGGAGTTAAAATACTGGAATACAGTATTTGACTACCGTTGGACTTGGAATATTTGAGGATTATTTATTTTTTAAAATATGGAAATAAAAATGAAACACTCAGCAAAGTTTATGATGATGCAGGCGGTGCCTGAGAACCAATACTATTTTTTTTAGCCTTATGCCTTTTGTCTCTAGCAACATCAATGCCCTTTCATCATGTATGAGTTGTCCCCCTTTTTCCAATTCCAGCGTGAGTGGTCAGTTTGAGGAGAAGCTGAAGGTACTGCAGGACATGATGGGTATTCTCCAGACACACGGACAGAGGATCAGCTTTGCCGGACACAGGGTCCAGATGCTGCAAGGTACACAAGGGTGGATCCAGCGTTTTTAAAAGGGAGGCATTCAATAACAAAATCCTCCCTCCGTGGGGGTTGGGGGTTTGGGATTGTTTACTACATACCACATTTGGTTTTCAAAAGAGGGTGGTCCAGACCCCTTGTACCATCTGGATGCGCCTATGGTACACATGGAAGCCATAGCACAAGTACCATGTGACCTTTTGGCCATGCCCCTATGAGCTTGAAGTTGTGGTTGTTTGTTGTTTAACGCTGCACTCAGCAATATTCCAACTATATGACGGCGGTCTGTAAATAATCGAGTCTAGACCAGACAATCCAGTGATTGACATCATGAGCATTGATCTACGCAATTGGGATATGATGACATGCATCAACTAAGTCTGCGAGCCTGACCACCCGATCCCGTTAGTCGTCTCTTACAACAAGCACAGTCACCTTTTTCGACAAGCATTGGTTGCTGAAGACCTATTCTAACCCGGATCTTCTTGGGTCGAGCTTGAAGTATGAATCTGGGTCCAAGGCCATAGTGACCACAGCTATTGGAATCTACTTGGCTCTAATTTAAATTTGCAGAGTTGTGTCCCTTATGTGTGTGATGATCCGCTGATTCAGGATTGGAATACCAGATTCTCCCCAATTTGTATACATCTGAGTGGTTTTGGTTGATCAAAAATTAAAATTGATAAAATATTGTAAAGAGTAAGTCTCTTAAATCATCTATAATCAGAATGTGTTTCCATGGCATCTCAGTACAGGTTGTTGATCCAAAACTGTAATAATGTCAGTGTGTTTTGTCTAACATTTTCAAGGTCAGTTTGCAAGGAAGGAAGCGTTGCTACGGTTACAGGCCAAGAGCCAAGATGTGGACCAGGAGACAGAGACAGAGACAAGTCCTCGGTAGGTAGGCTAGACTCAGGGGTGACACGGCTGCAACACTTCAATATCACTGACGGTGGGAATGTTTTCTCAGTTGGAGACTTCCTCTGTATTGTAGCATGGTGTAGTGGATAGAGCATCTGCCTGGAGAGCTGAAAGTCAGTGGTTCGAACCCTGAGGGTCATACGAATATCTGTTAAAGGATGGTACTTGTTGTTACCCTGCCCTGTGCTTGGCATTAAGGGGATAGAATAAAGACTGTCCAACTCGGACTCAGTATTATGTGTCTCAGTGGGGTATCAATGTTAACTGTGGCATGGTATCTCAGGGGTCTAGCACTTTAAGACCAGCATTTAGTCCGGACTAGTACAAGCAGCCACATACGCAAATGCACATGCACATGCACACATGCACATCTCTGTGTAAGTAAATTCTTGACAGCCACCCACAACATGATTAAGTTTCTTTTCATTACCACCTTGTTTCGAAACAAGAGAAAATCCACACTAAACATAAATATTTCCTTGATAGTACTCCCTTTTTGGTGTCAATGGTGCTCAGAAAGAACAGGATGTATAGAATGTCAACAACATGTACAGCATGACCTTTATCATTTCCGCTCAGGACTGCCTGTCTGTGTTCAGAAATAAAATTTTCTGCTAAAAATTCTTCACTTGCTCCTACCAAGAATTGAATGCCTTAATGCTGATTGCTGATTGCTGAATACAAAGTTCAGCAGACGCAACCACCTATGGAGGGTTGTCAGATCTTTGTGGAGAGAGGTATCAAAGCGGAGTTAAAGATGTGATTAAGAGATTGTAGCTAAAATTAGCTTCTGATTCTCAGTGTATCTTCCCCCGACAGGGCTGACACCAGCCATCTGAGCCAGGAGCTGGAGAGAGTCCTGGGTGAGAGGAACCTGCTCGCCAGCCAGATCCAGCAGGACGCCGAGCTTCTCTCCCACAAGCTGGACATGGCGAGAGCGGAGTGTAAGGACTGCTTCAACTCTCACTACATGTGTCACCCTCACTGGTCTAACAGAAGGGGTGGTGGGGTAGACTAGTGGTTAAAGCGTTCGCTCGTCACACCGAAGACCCGGGTTCGATTCCCGACATGGGTACAATGTGTGAAGCCCATTTCTGGTGTCCCCCGCCGTGATATTGCTGGAATATTTCTAAAAGCGGCGTAAAACCATACTCACTCACTCACTCAAACGTGAAACTTTAGCAATTCTGTGTCCGAGTGTTTGTTGTTAAGTTTTGCATGGGTAATTAAGTTCACCTCCATGTGTGCTCCAGATTCATGAAGTTAACATGAAAATCCACTGCCTAAATCCACTGTCCAAATGATTGTGTTCTGTTGCAGATGAGGGAGAGATCACAAGCCTGAAGCAAACAGTTGAAGATCTGGAAGTTAGCGTTCAACAGAAATCACAAGTAAGGCTTGGTTCCCTTCCTTACATCTAGGGCAGTATTCAGGAAGACGAACCAGCATTTGAAATATTTTAATACAGAACTAGCCTACTGTTGCCTTAAATGTAGCAGTCCAGCATGGAATAGGCCTTGAATTTGAATCTAACTTGAAGAATATGAATCTGCCTTGAATATGAATCTGCCTTGAATTTGAATCTGCCTTGAATTTGGTTAACTCGGATATCACTAAGATATATTACAATAACGTTTTCTTCAATAATGTGTCATGATATTATATCATGTAGCAAAAGATTGGTCTGTTTATACGCATTTGATAAATAATGTTGAAGCACTCATGTTTTACCTTTGAATGGTTTGTTTGTTTGTTGTTTAACGCCTCATTCAGCAATATTCCAGCTATATGATGGCAGTCTGTAAATAATCTAGTCTGGACCAGACAATCCAGTGATTGACATGTACATCGATCCACACAATTGGGATCGATGACATGCATCAACCATGTCAGCGAGTCTGACCACCCGTTCCCGTTAGTCGCCTCTTACGACAAGCATAGTTGCTTTTTACGGCAAATCGAGCCTTTCTGACAGTGAAAGATGGTAAGAATGTCCTAATAAATCTGTTTTATAACATTAAGCCTTGAAAGGTAGATCATTGCTTTGATAGGACTTAAAAAGGTCCTAAAAAGGCTGAAACTGTGTATGAGCCATGTTTAGCAACTTGCCTGTGGAAAGAATCACAGCCAACAATGGAAGGTGTTCTTAATATATCACCACAACCATACCAGCTGAAATGTCTGTAAAGGCAAAAAAGGCAGAAAATGTGGATGAATATATTGAAGTCAATGAGTCAAAGACACATTTTCAACCCCCTGGGGACTTGTATATGTCCCCCAGCACCTATCGCTGACAGTAAGAGGCGACTAAATTGGATCTTTGCTGATGTTTTGAGTCCCAGGTTTGCCTTGTGCGTCCATGCCCTTTGGCTCGAGGATACACATGTGAGGTTCAAACATGTGACAACATTATGACTCATTTGTCAAAATTACACGATTACTGAACATGAATGACACAAAATGAAGCCTTCTTTTCCAAACAGCTGCATCTGTGCTTGTCTTTGACAAGAATGTACGTTTGGCTTTAGTCTACAAACCCAGTGTCTTGTTGATGTGTCTGCAGACATGTGCCAGTCTGAGCGAGAAACTGGAGCAGACGCAGATGGAGCTAGACGACGTCAAGGACAGGGCAGACGTGTTGAGATCTGAACTGGCAAAACAGGAGTTTGCCACACAGACAGGTACATCCACAGCGTTAGGATTTGGCACTCGTCCTGTAGTCCTAACTGTCCAATATTTCAGGTATCATAAGAACAAGTAGAAATTTGCCATTATTAAGGGTTTTGCTATATGTTATCATTATTAGGACTAGATGACTGAAACAGTTAGTTTTCCTCAACATTGCATTTGACATTGCCAGTGGGCCAAGAGGACCCTCTTCCAATTTATGCAGAAACTGGAACCTTCTCATGGGTCTGAACCGGTTGCACACTTTTATCCATTATATGCTGCAGCTCTGGAAGAACAGAGGAAACAAGACCGAGACGAATACGCTGAGCAGCTGGCAGAGATGGACCGCAAGTTGAACGAGGCTCGCAGGGAGCACACCAAGGCTGGTGAGTGAACTACAGCTGGTCTTGACAAGACTTGATTGTGGATATATGGAATAAGTCCCGAGCAGCCTTGGCTGGTTGTGAGAGGCAACAAAGTGGATTGGATGGTTAGGCTCAACTTGGTTGATGCTTGGCAGCGTACCCTGATGACGTGGATCGCTGCTCACAATGTCAATCACTGGATTGTCTGACACTGACTGGATCATTTACAGACTGCCATCATATAGCTGGAATGTTGCTGAGTGCATCATTATCAGCAAACATAGATATTTACGTGATAAATCACGAAAAACAATGACGAAGCATGGTTTATTATATGATAAAACATTGTTCTATCATGACCTAATTTCTGGAGATTTGAACATACGACTTGGTGATATCGTAAATTGGACGACGTTATTTTTGAGAGGGAAGTGTCTGGTGAGTTGTTCCCCCTAGATGTAGCTGGGCAACCTAGATAAACGGAATGGCTGAACAATCGCTTTCAAAAGTGGGAGAGGTATGACAATCAGTAATGGGAGAAAAGGTACAGATAATTGACATGAAAATTGTGAGATTATTTAAATCATTTAAGATATAAATACAGGTAAATATTTTTAAAGCGTGTTCTTTTTACTAACATCCTAAAAGAGGTTGTTCTTAATGTGGATATCTCATAGAAGAAATAAACACATCGATGGATTGCTGACACGACAACCTGTAGCACTTCATATTGTTTCTGTCAATGATTCTCCACATTCCAGCTGTGCGCAAATAGTTTATCAGATAACTGGCATGACACTGATCCAAGCATGACAAGTTTGAGTTTCACAGTGACAGCTCATCATGTCTTGTTGTAAACCAATGTTAAAGTATATATGCTTTTGCTCATATACTACTCAAAAGAAGTTAAGCAACACCCAATTCTTTCATTTGTTAATCAGTCATGCCATGGCATATGAAAGAATCGGGTGTTTGTTAACGTCTCTTGAGAAGTATAAACTGTAAATCGTGAAATTATTGCGTCTCCAAAAGAATGCGACCACTGGACCCTAGCCAAAAATGCGACTCACTATGAATGCGACACCCCCTCCTCTCAAGCATCAGTGGATTTCTATCTAAGGATGTCCTCAGTCAGGTTTAGAATCCTCACCTTAATCCAACCTTACATTAATCCAATCACACACCAAATAGCACCGCTTATTAGCGCTGAGTAAAGTATTTCCGCAAAAACAATACATGCGCGCTGGCTCATGTCGGCCTTTGACGCAGTCGCAAAGAACAAAGGGTGATGTCTGTCTGGACTTGCAGGTGTGATCAGTATTGACATAAGTGAGTAGAACTCTTATCTTCACCCCAGCAGTGACAATTCACAGGACGTAATTAGTGTTTGGATGATATTGTTTATATACTTTATATACAAGTGCTGCTCAATAAACAGTGGTGTGGAATACATCAGCGTATGTCTAAGTTGGTATTTTTGCTATCCAAAATGTCTTATTGTTGATATTAATGCGATGTTTAAAAATGCAAGCAAAGACCACTCGCATTTTTCGCATTTAATTCATGCTTGCGTTAATTTCAAGATTTACAGTATGACTATGAATGGGGTCCTGGGTAGTCCTTACTTGTAGTTTGATACACTCCTTCCTTCCGACCCACCCACCTACCTTAACACACAAACATTTGCGGTTCAGTCATCATGTGTTTTAGTTTACAATGTGGCTTTTTATAGAGTTAGTCTAATATACAGTCCTTGAAATAAAGTTTTGTAGGAGGTTAAATAAAATAATAATTCTAAAAAGGAACAGTCAAGTCTCTAAAATAAGTCTGCTGAAGAGGGGGATGATTGTGGATGAGAAAGGCATCAGTATCGAATATTGACAGTAGCGGGTGACCTCGCCTAGATGAACACTACCAAGCTGACATGTCATTCATTTCCCGATGAATGTTTGGGACGGATGACTTCACGATGTCACAACTCTCCGTGTTGATATAGTTCGCTTTCAATTATTAAAGTTTGATGTTTAATGGATCGTTTTGTCATGATTTATGTGTCTGTCAATGTAAGGATTGAAGTTGTATTTGTTGACGTTCATCAGCTGATGAAGACAGTGCCTCACGTGAGCAAATTTACCATGAAGCGCTTCGTACATCATGGAATTTGCTCACGTGAGGCACTGTCTTCATCAGCTGATGAACGTCAACAAATACAACTACAATCCTTGAATGGGTGTGATTGTTTCACAGAATATACGAGTATACAGAATATTTCGTATGCTCTGGGATCTGTGTCTAGGAAAACTGTGGTATGGTCTGCAAGCCCCTTTTTTCAATTCGGGATCTGCTTTGAAAATAAATGACAGGCCCTTGACATCTTCCCCTGTCAGTTCAAGGGAAGTAAGTGAGCTACCCTCGTGTGTTACAGTTGTGTCTGTGCGTCAGCTGGAGAGACAGAGCGGCCGAGAGAGGGAGAGACTGAGAGAGGAGATGCAGACAGTGGAGGAACACTTCAAGCGTCAGGTGGATAAACTACAGCAGCAGCTCATCCTGGTGGAGAAAGAGAGAAACATGATGATGGTAATGTGTGTTGTCAGCTGTATGCTTGTGTCACTTCAGCTGTATGCTTGTGTTACTTCAGCTGTATGCTTGTGTTACTTCAGCTGTGTTGTTCTGTTACTTCAGCTGTGTGGTTCTGTTACTTCAGCTGTGTGGTTCTGTTACTTCAGCTGTATGCTTCTGTTACTTCAGCTGTGTACTTCTGTTACTTCAGCTGTATGCTTTTGTTACTTCAGCTGTATGCTTTTGTTACTTCAGCTGTATGCTTCTGTTACTTCAGCTGTGTACTTCTGTTACTTCAGCTGTGTGCTTCTGTTACTTCAGCTGTGTGCTTCTGTTAGTTCAGCTGTATGCTTCTGTTGCTTCAGCTGTATGCTTCTGTTGCTTCAGCTGTATGCTTCTGTTACTTCAGCTGTGTGCTTCTGTTACTTCAGCTGTATGCTTCTGTTGCTTCAGCTGTGTGCTTCTGTTACTTCAGCTGTGTGCTTCTGTTGCTTCAGCTGTATGCTTCTGTTACTTCAGCTGTATGCTTCTGTTACTTCAGCTGTGTGCTTCTGTTACTTCAGCTGTGTACTTCTGTTACTTCAGCTGTGTGCTTCTGTTACTTCAGCTGTATGCTTCTGTTGCTTCAGCTGTATGCTTCTGTTACTTCAGCTGTATGCTTCTGTTACTTCAGCTGTATGCTCCTGTTACTTCAGCTGTATGCTTCTGTTACTTCAGCTGTATGCTTCTGTTACTTCAGCTGTGTGCTTCTGTTGCTTCAGCTGTATGCTTCTGTTACTTCAGCTGTACGCTTCTGTTACTTCAGCTATATGCTTATGTTGCTTCAGCTGTGTGCTTCTGTTACTTCAGCTGTATGCTTCTGTTACTTCAGCTGTATGCTTCTGTTGCTTCAGCTGTATGCTTCTGTTGCTTCAGCTGTATGCTTCTGTTACTTCAGCTGTGTGCATCTGTTACTTCAGCTGTATGCTTCTGTTACTTCAGCTATATGCTTCTGTTACTTCAGCTGTATGCCTCTGTTACTTCAGCTGTGTGCTTCTGGTACTTCAGCTGTATTCTCCTGTTACTTCAGCTGTATGCTCCTGTTACTTCAGCTGTATGCTTCTGTTAATGCTCCTGTTACTTCAGCTGTATGCTTCTGTTACTTCAGCTGTATGCTTCTGTTAATGCTCCTGTTACTTCAGCTGTATGCTTCTGTTACTTCAGCTGTGTGCTTCTGTTACTTCAGCTGTGTGCTTCTGTTACTTCAGCTGTGTGCTTCTGTTACTTCAGCCGTGTGCCTCTGTTACTTCAGCTGTGTGCTTCTGTTACTTCAGCCGTGTGCCTCTGTTACTTCAGCTGTATCCTGTTACTTCAGCTGTGTGCTTCTGTTACTTCAGCTGTGTGCTTCTGTTACTTCAGCCATGTGCCTCTGTTACTTCAGCTGTGTGCTTCTGTTACTTCAGCTGTGTGCTTCTGTTACTTCAGCTGTATGCTTCTGTTACTTCAGCTGTGTACTTCTGTTACTTCAGCTGTATCCTGTTACTTCAGTTGTGTGCTTCTGTTACTTCAGCTGTTTGCTTCTGTTACTTCAGTTGTATTCTCCCTGTTTGCAGGCCACTCTGCGCCAGGAGGGGCTGCTGAGCAAAGTGCGATGTGATCGTGGGGAACCCGTCACTCTCCAGTGTGAGGAGGTACAGACTCAGCCCACAGCCAACAGTAAAGGTGGGTTATATACTGATTACACTAAAATAAGGCAAATAATATCTTCAACTGTAAGACTGAAGAGTCATTAATCATTCACACTGACAGTCTGCGACTTTAGCCACTAGTCTGAAGCCTGAGTCTCATAAAAGTCTAGCTCAGTTAATAATAGTCCATATCATAACATTAAAGTCTTCTGAAAAGGATACGAAGAGCCATGTTTCAGGCTGGTTGTCTCAAAAGGTTTTGACATAGACTGCACTGAAAATTGGCAACACATTCAATGAACAATGAGTCAATATATGCTACTCAACTTTTGAAAGAGATATTTTTATCTTTGCATTTTACAAAAAAACGATTCTCATATTATGTCAAGTCTATATTTAAGTCTATATTTAAATAGGAAGTATCTGATGACCCTATCAAAGCTTGCGTGGTATAGCATATGTAATAGTTGTATGGAAAACACTGTTGGAAGGTCAGGGAATGTGGGTAAGTATCCTCGATTATCTAGTGTATTGTCTCTCTGTTCTGTCATGATCAATACATAGCACATTGCCAATCACTTCCATGCCAAGCCTCTTCTCAGTACCGGTAACTTCCTTGACAGTTTCTCTTACCTTGGAGTGACAGGCACTTGTTTATTGCATTGTGTCATTTGAGTTTGACTTAAATGATTCCATGGTGGTAAGGAGCGGTCGGGTAGCCTACTGGTTAAAGCGTTCACTTGTCATGCCGAAGACCCGGGTTCGATTCCCGACATGGGTACAATGTGTGAAGCCCATTTCTGGTGTCCCCTGCCGTGATATTGCTGGAATATTGCTAAAAGCGGCGTAAAACCATACTCACTCACTCACCATGGTGGTAAATGGCTCCAGAGTATTATATACTACTAAAAAAAAAGTTAAGGACCGCCCTATTTTCTCATATTACTACAGATGACAGATTAAGTATTGTTTATATGAAAGAATTGTGTGTTCTTTAACTTCTTTTGAGTAGTATATATTATAACGAAGACATAACACTGGATAATTGAGGATGGAGAGGAAGAGGAGATGAGTTAAATAAATACTGTATGATGTGGAAGTTGTGAAGTAATCTCTCGACTTCACATTGCAGGAGAGCCCATTACATCAGTGCTAGAGGACCTGCGGTCACTGACGGCGGCGGTGCTGGAGGAGGGAGATGAATCGGAAGACGAGGAGGAGGAAGACTAACTTGAACAAGGAGACAAGTCTCATCATGGCCTAACCATTCACTACTTGTACATTGTCAAGAATAGGGGCAGTGGGGTAGCCTAGTAGTAGAACCATTGGCTCCACACATCTAAGACCAGGTTCTGTTCCCAAATGGATACAAAGCCTGAATCTGATTTCTGGTGTCCACAGACATGATGTGGCTGGAATGTTGCAACAAGTTGTGTAAAACCCTACTCACTCACTCACTCAAGATAAGGGTTGTAACACATCGTTCGGATAAGATGCAAATATATATTATGGTCATGATATATTATAATGCAAAACTTGTGAAGTTAAGGAGACATTATTCTTTCAGCAAGCAGATAGCTGGAGACACAACAAACACATATTTTGTGAATCTTGAGAGTTTTTGTTCTGGGTAGGGTTAGCATAGTGGGTAAAGTGTTTGATTGCCACCCCAGATTGCTCACATAGTACAGTGTGCGAGTCCCGTGTCTTGTGCCTTCGCTGTGGTGTGTCTGAAATATTGCAGAGAGTGGCATGTAGCTACTCACTCACTTGTACATCATATTCATCCTGTGAGAAAAAGATATTTCAATAATTTTATTATAACATATTACTATAACATTCCGTCCGAGTTGTATCTGTGATATGATAGTAGTTCTGCAGTTTCTCAGTCACTTTATTCTCCAAAAATGACGGTGGTGTGACATGTTTAGATTCTTTTATTGAAAAGTTAAGTGATGAGGGACAAACAGTTTTTATTCTTTTCACACCAAGAATACCAACAAACACAACTGAGCACACAATGAACTTGTTTGTTCAACACAATGTCAGTTGTCAAGTATGGAGATTAGGTTATACATGTATTGTCTGCTTCATGGGTACAAGTAGTCCTGCACAATGACTGTGGAATACATTTATTTTATGAAAAAAAAGATTAATCTAGAAATGCATACAAAAGCAAGTCTGGCCAGCTCTAGCTTGCTCTGTTCCACATGAAATCAGTATAGGGAATTTTATTTTTAGGGTCAAGAAGGATATTGTGTAACATAAGATTTCATAGACTAAATGTTAGTCTTGGGTACAATGTGTGAAGCTCATTTCTGGTATTCCCACCATGCTATTGCTGGAATATTGCTAAAAGCAGCATAGAACTATACTCACTCTCTCACTGTTTGGTGGTTGAGTTCAGGAGTTTTCACTGTACCTTCTCTGAATATCTATGAAACATATAGGCTTTGCAAAAATATTGGACCTGTTGTCAAAAAGTGCTTCTTATTTGTGACACAATCCAATGTATTATATTGTGAATATTTTGTAAATAATACAAAAATAAAATCAACACAAGCATCCAGTGTGTGTGTGCGTCTTATTTGGATGCTATGCGTTGTCATGGGGGATTCCATCTCATTAATATCACAATATCCCCCCCTGTCATTTATGAGGACAATGGCATCTACACAAAGGAGTTGTGTATAAGTTTCGACCTCTGTCTGGATTCTGGGTCGGAATTGGTCATTGCTACCTATGCTGGTCGTTAGAGGCGACCAAATGGAATGGATGGTCAGACCCGTGACTTGGTCGATTGCATGTCATCCTACATCAACGATCCTGCTCACAATATCATTATAGGCGGTTCCAGCATTTTAAAACTGAGGGGTCCAAAATATCAAAATCCTCTTCCAGTGGGGAGATTGTCTACAACAAACATTTGGTTTTCAAAAGGATCCAAACCTATGATTATGGTTTCGAATCCCGGTTTGCCCCGATTATGTTTCTAGGTTTGTCAGCACCATACCCGTGCTCGTGGGTTTCACCGAAGTGGTAAACGTCTTAGACCTGCATCGCTTCAAGCTTTTCTCCCACATGAAGCTGACACGCCGTGATATAACTGGAATACTGTTAAAAGCGGGGTTAAACCCAACTCACTCACTCACTCAAAAGGATCCTCTGTATCCGCCTATGATCAATCACTGATTGTCTTGCTCCAGACTCTCCAGACTCAATTATTTACAGGCCGTCTTCATATAGCTGGAATCTTGCGGGGTTATATTACTTACAACATCTAGATTTACATTTGAAATGGGCTTGAAACAGTTCCCCCTTTAATGCCAAATTTCAGTAAAATATATTCTTGAATACTCCATGTACACTTTAATACAATGGACTCGAAGCCGCTGTGTCCAGCACTCATAATCTCTGCCGCACGCCTAACCTCTATATTGAGTGCGCATGAATATTTAGATAACACTGGAATCAGAAATATGTTCCTGCATGATTGTATTTGTGTTAAAGACCGAACATGAGCAAGTGTGCGGCTGTATAATCACTGCCTGTATATAATGAAAGCTGAGAGGACAAACCAAGTGTTGATAGCCACAGCAGTGAACAGCAACATCAATGATTGGCAACAAACATGATCAGGCAACAAAGGTTATGAGGACACAATCAGCTAAACAATGAAACCTATACATCAGCTACAAAGTCTCTTTGTGGTAATTTGTAAAAGGCGACAATTCTTGTCGTAAGAGGCGATCGGGTTGTCAGGCTCACTAGCTTGGTTGCTGCATATCATTGTATCCCAATTGTGTTGATCAATGCTCTTGATGTCAATCAGTGGATTGTCTTATGCAGACTTGATTATTTTACAGACCGTTGTCCTATAGCTGGAATATTGCTGAGTGCAGCATTCAACAATAAACAAACTTTGTGGTAGTAGCATGGCAGGAAAGCCTGAAGTGATGCAGGTCTCAGACGTTTACCACTTTAGTGAAACCCATGAGCACAGGTATAGTGCTGACAGACCTAGAAACATAATCGGGGCAAACCGGGATTCGAAACCAAGATCAAAGGTTGCTGATGTGCCCAGGGGAAGCAACTCCGTACAGTTAATTGGAGTGCCTAAGATGACCGGGCCACCTGTCCACACACAACAAACTTAAGAAAACCAGAGATATTACCAACCAATCAAACAGATGGAAAAAAGTTTTTTTTGTCACAGCCCACCCAAAGTCCAGATACATTGGGACACTTGCTGAAGAGATTGTGGCCATCACTTCTTTCACTATTTGTAGGGGGGCACGGGTGGACCAGTCATCTAAGGTGCCGCGATTCGCTGTGCAGAGTTGCGTCCCTTGGGCACGCCAGAAACCTATGATTGTGGGTTCGAATCCCGGTTCGCCCCGATTATGTTTCTAGGTTTGTCAGCACCATACCCGTGCTCGTGGGTTCTACGGAAGTGTTATAAACCTATTCATTGGGATCTCTATTAAGTAAGAGAGTTCTTTCTATAGGCATTGAAACCTATTGTGAGGTTTTACTTTCAAAGTAAAACCTATTAAGAGGTTTTACTTTCAAAGTAAAACCTATTATGAGGTTTTATTTTCGTTCGGGAGGTTTTACTTTGAATGTAAAACCTCAAATCCCAGGTTTAACCAAGTAACTGAAAAATGACAACAAGTAGCAATTCAAAATTTTAATTCAATTAAAATTGAATGTCATTTGGAGTTCCGCGTGGACATTTAAAAGCGACATCACTTCAGAGTCTCTGGTGAAAGGACAGCGAGGTTTCAAAACACGTGCTTTTAAACAAGTGCTTATCAATGCTGCACAATTTGCACGTGCAGTAACTGCTAGCCGTTACGTCACAACTACCTCTATGTAACAGTTCGATTGTTTAAAGTCGAAAATCTTGCAAAGCAAAAAAACACCTTTAAAATTTGCGAATTTTCGTTTTGAAAAGTTTAAAAGAAGTGGAATATTGCAACACAAACATTTAGAAACCGAAGATTTCACTTTCATTTAAAAGTAAGTATTTTAGTTGTGTTTTGTTTTTGACACATCCAAGTGCTCTTGAACGCCTGGCAAGTCAGCGAATTTCACGTGCAAGTTATGATATCACGTCTTCAAGGAAACGCTTTTACGAAGCGCCTCATTTATAGATGCTCGTTATAACATTTAATCAATTTAGACGGTTTATAAGTATGGAAAAACACTTTCCCTCGGTTTCCCCCCGCGGTTTTTCCCTCTCACCAGGGCATGCTCTGTCTACCAAAACCGAGGTAAGCGTGTTTTCTCCAATACGTAAACGTCTGAGACCTGCATCACTTCGGGCTTTCCTTCCACATTAAGCTGACACGCCGTGATATAACTGGAATACTATTAAAAGCGGCGTTAAACCAAACTCACTCACTCACTCTTTCACTATTTGTAACTTAATGCAATTCCGGACGGGTAACATTTGAAGTCTGAGGATATTTCTGTTAAACATCAACACTAAACACACAAACTGAAAAAATTGTTTTCCTCCTTGACAAATAATCATACTTTGACCAATAAAGATCTTGTTTTTCATGTCTTGACAGAATGCAATCCCATATAAAGATATGATTTCATTATAATTAGTTTTAATTATATCAATTTAAAAATTGCACACAGAACATATTTTTTTCATTAATCTAAGGCTAAACAGACTTAATTGCCAAATCGTCAAATGATTTAAAATATTTCTGTTTTGTGTTACTCCAAAACGTCATTTAGAAAATTAATTCAATCACGTCAGTTGTCCACTTAATTAATATTAAGCGTGGATAGCCCCTCCCCTAGTCTTACCTACTTACTTACTATGGGGGATTTAACGTGCGCTTTCCGACTATTTGCGTATTTCGCTCACAGTTTCCCTTGTTAACCCAGCCAGCTAACTTGATATCTCATAACATTTCTGAATAAATGGTTTTACAATTTACATGCTGCACTCATACTGTACAACCTCGTTTATCAAGACAGTTCCGCTCCAATTATGTCCTTAATAATTATCGTTAAGAGAAGATACGACAGAAGGGAGATAATTATGTAACTCTTTATGACTTGGAGGTAAAGATTGTGTTCGGTTCCGGTGTCTAGGAAAACGCACGTGAATTTGTTTTCTAAACATCGTTTTTATTAGGAGAGCTTTGTCATGTCAATACGGTGATGGAATTCTGTGCAGAACTAGCTGTTTTTCAGTCTGCAGCGAAATTCGCAACGTTAGAGGTACGAATTAAATTATATTTCGCCAACAGATGCATGCTGTGTGTCATTTTGCTCGCTGCCATCTAGCCACGATAGACATTTCAACAATTGTTCAGCCCCCACTCCATATCATGTCACTTACATTCATGGGCGGTATCTGTTTACATTACTGGATAGGTGTAGTTTATATTGTCAGAATGTCAATTTTCTAAGCAAATATTCTCTTTCTGCTCAACAAGTAAACTAAAGCAGTAAAGGAAGATACTATATTATCAACCGACTTACTCGAACCATCGTATCGCAATTGCGTCGATGGATTCTCATGTCAATCACTGGATCGTCTGATCCAGACAAGATTATTTACAGACCGCTGTCATGTAGCTATATGGCTATAGACTATTGCTGATAGTCCTGCACCATGACTGTGGAATTGATATTTTTCAGGTATTTTGTTTTACTAAAAGCCTAGGCAAGTATACATCAAACTCAACAAGTCTAGTTTGCTTGAAGAAGAGGAATGGTCCTTTCGAAAAAAATGTGTTATTATTTAAAAGACATTGACTAAGTGCTTGTGCATTCTTTGTTCCATCTGACAGTTTCCAAGTCCAGCTGACATTACAGATTCGGACGAAGTGCAGAAATTCACTGACCTGATATCACCATCTGTCCGTGAGATCCTCGATGGGCTGGACAGTGAGCGCAGTCTCTTGGACAGAAATGTGTGGAACTTCAAGCTGCTGTCTTTCCTGCTGACACACATCTTGAAGAACAGCCACAACAAGGACCAGCAGGTTGATGCAGTCAAAGAAAATGGAGCTTCCAACAGTAATGACAGATCTCTGGATAAGGCAGAGGCACTGACAGTCACTGACAACAAGGGCTCCAAAACAGCTGATCACATTTTTCAACATTTCCCATGCTTGAATCTAGCAATCCTTTTTGAGCTTGTTAAGAGGTTTAAGTGGAATGGACAGCTTCTTGAGGTGAGTGTTTTCATGAGTCTAGGCTTGTAATCAAGGTGTACCGTATTCGACGTAATAAGCGCCCAGGGCGGTCTCAAAATTAGAAATAGGGGGCTCTTATTAGAAGGTTATTTTGGTGAAAAAAACTGAGTTGAAAGATAAATTTCGTGGTTTATGCTGACAGCCTGAAATGTTTATGTACGACAGATATATTTTTCCAGAATTAAATGCCAATAATTAATGGTGCATATAACACACGAGTGTGTATTATACGCGAATAAATAAGTCTTGTGTACATTGATCAATCGGAAGGGGTGCTAATTGGGATTGTTCACTAGCCAATATCTTAGCAAATGTCGCCGTGGGCGCTTATTGGAGCGGCGCGCTTATTACGTCGAATATGGTATGTAGCACTGTTACCATGGTTACTGCAGGTATGTATTTCAGGATTCTCAGGATACTGTATTCTGTATGAAGTTCTCCCTGACCAACTTCTAGACCAACGTGTAACTAATATTTATTAAGCATTCCACACTATACCAGAGCTCCAGATAAGTTTTTGTTGTTGTTGGTGTTTACCCATGCATTTTAAAATCATTGGGTATCAGTAATTCTATCTGAGTATTGAAATTTCTGTAACCCACTAGTTTTTACACATGTGGGTATTTAAGTTAAATATTTAACAACACTATTCATCTAGTCCCTGCAAACTGATGTCATGTGGGTTAGAGAGCTTTATAGGACTCACAAATACCACGATACTTCCACAAGAAAGTGTGCTGGCAAATGATCATGATGTAACTGTCATCGTGGAGTTTGGCAAGGTTGACAGAATGCCCGTGTATAATTTCAAAATAAGTTGCTGATTCGCTAATCGAATACGCAGGGTTACTTCACAATATTTTGATGATACGCACAAGTTTTATTTTTGTAGCGTATCTGTAATGTTCCTTGCGTATTTGATACGCTTGGATTTTATTTTACTGCGTATTTCTGCATTTCTGATGCGTATTTCACGCAGATACGCAGCTTATCTGGAGCTCTGCTATACTGTGATGCTTAACACTTTCAAATAGTGTAAAGTGATAATCAGCCTTTTTGGTAGTCAATCATACAGGCTGTGCAGAGTTGCGTCCCTTGGGCACGCCAGAAACCTACGATTGTGGTTTCGAATCCCGGCTCGCCCCGATTATGTTTCTAGGTTTGTCAGCACCATACCCGTGCTTGTGGGTTTCACCGAAGTGGTAAACATCTGAGACCTGCATCACTTCAGGCTTTCCTCCCACATGAAGCTGACACGCCGCGATATAACTGGAATACTGTTAAAAGCGGCGTTAAACCCAATTCACTCACTCACTATAATGTTTGGCAAGTCTAGACTACTGCAGCTGCAGTATCTGGAAATGACGAGAGTCTGTGAGCTCCTTTTTATTATATTTTTATTAAGATAATTTAACAACTGTTTTTGCAGTAAGATATGTTCATTTCAGAGACTAGATGTTAGTCTACCTTTTTGGGTAATTAATATAATCAACATCTGTGATCATCTCTGTGAACTTGAGCATTTGGATTCACAGTTAGGGATTATCGGATCTTATTCTCTTTATTTAATCTTATTTCTGTTTTCAGTGTTTGCAAGTCCTGAATGAATCTGAAGCAGCAATAGTTGTCGAGTCCATTATTGAAGAGGTCAAGTCATCAGATGACCCCAACAACCTTGAACTTGTGGTCACCTGTCAGAAATACCTCTTCTGGTTGGTGATCAAGTCAGCCAATCACAACCAGGGCCAGCTTAATGTTGCCATGACAATGGAACATACTGTAGATTGGTTTCACCAGCATTTGAATAAGATTAACCAACAAGAGCTACTGTCTAAAGGATTATTAATTGAAATTATTCATGTACTTGTCCTTCTTGGATGTGTTTGTTGTAATGAAATCTGTATTACTGAGTTAAGAACATTGCTCTTACAGTCAGAACAGGGAAAAGATAAAACTGTTGTTCATCGAGAAACAACGAGGATTTTAGGACTTTTGAAGTCAAGAACAAGACAAGATTGTGAAAATAACTTTTCAGAATTACTACAGAGGATTCACCAAGGTTTTCCAAAGCTAACATGGTTGGAGGTTTCAGCTTCTTTTCTGAAAGACTTGAACAGTGAAGGAGAGAGCCAATTAGGAAGAAACGCTGCATTAATGGAAGACCTGGCAAGGGAGACAACTCTAGATCTTGGCATAATGGACTTGAATGTGATTTCTTTTTATGAGAGATTACTTGAAACAACCAAAAGTGATAGGTAATTGCACTTTTGGATTGGAAATTTCAGAAATATAACTGTCGTTACTTAACAGTTGCTGAAAAAAATGTTTAGACTTTGAATAACAATTTTTTATTTTATGATGAGTGTGGTCAAGTTTTGTAATTAAGTTGTGTGTTTGAACATGTAAACATTTCATATTCCTCATATGAACATGGGGTTGAGAGACTGAGTACATATTTCCAACATCTATTACTTTCTTTCCCAGGTCATGCAGGGGGGACGTGAGTGGCCTAGTCGTCTAATTTACTGTGCAATTTACTGTGGGGCCTTTGGGGTATCCTCGTGGTTATATTGCTCGCTCACTCACTCACTCACTCACTCACTCACTCACTCACTCACTCACTCACACTCACTCACTCACTCACTCACTCACTCACTCACTCACTCACTCACTCACTCACTCACTCACTCACTCACTCACTCACTCACTCACTCACTCACTCACTCACTCACTTTACTATGCAGAGTTGGGTTTAAAGCCACTTTTCATGCAGATGCTTTTTGCAGCTCTGGAGATACGAGGATGTCTACAGTACATCAGTTCCTGGCATCATTTGAATCCCATCGCTGCCACCAGATGGCACTGAAACAGAAGGAGGAGGAAGAGAGGCAGGGGAAGATAACTCTTGAGGAAATATTGTTTGGGAGATTGGCTGGCTTTGAGGGTAAGACTTGACGATCCCTCCACACCAGCTATTGGACACGCCACCCTTAAAATCTTGGTGACCCCATTCCTTTTCAAAGTGGGGATCAAGTGGGCACAATGAGAGTTGCTATGAGCTGTATGCTGTTGGGATTCTAATTAGAATTGGTCCCCAGCAACCTATGCTTGTCATAAGAAGACATGGATTTTGTTGCTCATTCGAATCAGATCTTAGTTCTCGTTCTGCTAAAACAAAGATCTGAGGACATCCCATAACCAGTTTACATCAGAACGACCTTTCATCCAACCAATCAGAGCATTGCTTACCAGATAAGGAAAGTGACAGTCAGAATGTGTTTTCTAATCATGGAACCTCAAAACATTTATCACAGGGTATTCCAGAAACAGTTACTGACTTTACGATTGAATTCGTCGTTATCTATCTGTCACCTCAAGAGGAACGGATTTGCATTGCCCATGGAAGTACTGCCTTACAATCAAGGCCATTTATTAGATATTCCAATATATTCTTTTGTTCAGTTTTCAAATTTTGAATTGAGAACTTTGTCAAAATATTTTCCAAATGCGAAGTCACCAGACTCAGTGGAAGGGTTTGTATGTCACTATAGGGTGGCACTAAGGTTAATATAACTCTAATATAACATAAGTGTACAACTGTCGTGTGCTACAATCGTCTTGTGGAGAGGCACACAGAGAGACAGAGAGAGAGACAGAGAAAACCTTTTAGAATCTTGTCTTTTTCTAAGCATGTGTTTCAGCTAACAACTCTGTTTCAGCATGCATTACAAGAATCGTAACTTGCTGTGATCCTGCTTGTTGGAGGAATGAAAGGTAATAAATAGATGTTTGAAAATCGATCTTGTTGGTATTATATTGATGTAGCCAGTTCAGAATATATACGGCCAGACACAAGAAAGTATCCACCCTTGGTTGATGATGGGTGTCTAAAGATAATACAAACCAGAAATGGTTTTTCGATTGTGATGTATTTGATATGTGATACGGGTATTATAGGCAAATTTACATGCTTCATATCAATGAGTATCGCACAACAGATCAAACTATTGTACATGTTGTAACATATCTCGTGAAGGTCCGGGGTAGAATAGGTCTTCAGCAACCCTTGCTTGCCCTAAAAGGCGACTATGCTTGTTGTGAGAGGCGACTAACGGGATCAGGTGGTCAGGCTCGCTGACTTGGTTGATGCATGTCATTGATCCCAATTGCGTGGATTGATGCTCATGATGTCAATCACTGGATTGTCTGGTCCAGACTCGATTATTTACAGACCGCCGTCATATAGCTGGAATATTGCTGAGTGCGCCGTTAAACAACAAACCAACAAACAAAAAACATGTAGTAACATTTGATAATGTTTGTTATTTTGCTCAAATCCAATATTCATTGGATCCTTGGTTGTCCAATTTATTTCATCTGCATTCATTTTGGATAAATACCCTGGAGCCATTGGCCTCTTTAGCTTTGTTTCAGAAGGGATGTCACCACCTTAATCTGTCTCTAACTTATCACCAGAAATAGCTGCCTGCTTGCTATTTCATATGTGGTATTGTTTCTTTCGGGACAGATGTAATATTTTCCGATTTGATGAACTGTCTATTACAAAATTTCCTTGCTGCTGACAGTGTTAAATCAGACATTGGCATGTGACTCACTTAACTGAGATCAAAAGCTAAGCATGTAATTACAAACATGTTTAAGCTGTAAAGGTTGGAGGCACAGAGTAAAGTCAGTCTAATACAAATACTATTGATTATCTATTCTAGCATGTGCATACAATTGTGGGTCAGCAACTGACAAGACAGGCTCGTTAGATTTATGAGTCTGGCTGGCTTATTGGGAGTAAAATTGTTGGAAACACTGCTTTGAGAATTGTGACTCGATGGCCAATTGTAGCAACGGGCTCGAGATAAGGGGCTAAGGGACTGGTCATTTATATATTTATTATAGAGGAAAGGGTCAGCAAAATTTATGAATGACAACTTTGTTTGGGGAGTGACGAAAAATTAATTTGGGAGGGGGGGGTTGGGGGCATGGAAACATGTTACATAAAATGGTTCGGCAAAGTATGATCCAGTGCTAAGACCAACCTCACCTGGCAGCCCCCTATAATCTGTCATACGATACACTGGATACTGGATAATCAAGTTTTTTTATTGGATCACCTTCAAGGAAATAATCACAATACTTGCACCAATGGTTTCGTTTTCATCTCTCTTTTCAGATACACATATTTATTGCGAGAGAACTGTGATTTGTTGTTTTCTGAGTCCGACATCCAAGCTCTCCTTCGGACACTACGGACATTAATCAGGGTCGAATGTCAAGGTCTACCTTTAGCCCCAGTCCTGCAGGTACATTTCCTGATGTTGTCAGTTCATTTACTTTTTGTGGTACCCCAGGAGGTCTCGATGAAAAGTTGATAATTTGCCTCAGTTGTGAAATATATAATTTCCCTATCATGTCTCCAAGATAAAAATGTCTCCAAGACCCATGTCTTGAGTAGCCATGTCTCAAAATCCATCATGGACTTGTTTTAAAACTTCAAAAGTAATATACCACAACAAACACTAAAATATATTTTGAAATATAACATTAAAAAGACAATACATGCACTTCCAATTCTTATCGGGTATATTGAATTCCTTATATATTCTTATGGTTGTAGATTTTGTTAGATGCCTTTTCAAGATTACCAATCTTGACCCAAGAGAAGATAATCCTTGAGAACTTCCTGTCTTGTGATGACCCTGACCTTCTCTCCTCTGTGGGCAGCTTCCACCAGGAGATGAACATTGCCTTCAACCAGTTCACCAGCGAAACATCAGAAAAAGTAAGTAAAGCCTGACTAATTGCTTTACTTGATTTACTGAGAGAATGCATTAGCATCTTAAGGCCATACAATTTGTATTTTTCGTTTCACGGGCCGCCATCCCAACTGAAAAGCAGCTGGAAAAGAAATAAATGAAACATTAAAATATTTGTTTTTATAATGTCTCCTGCTAGACCCTCTGATAGAATATAAAATGTTATGTATCAATTCCATGTCTACATCACTGTCAGTCATTCAAGAAGCCAGCTGCAGTTATTACTCCACAGCAGAATGACTCATATAAATAAATAAATGACTGACATAGCTCTTTATTTTAAATATGACCGACCTTGTGTGGAAAAGCTGGAATAAATCCGTGAAATTTATAATTAAAAAAGTCTGGCCTAAAGTACCAAGCATAAAATGAAGCTTCTGATTGATATTTTTCTTCAGTGTCTGTCTCTGAAACCTAATAAGTGCTACTGTGTTCTGAAATTTGAGGTAGTCAAACTGTACATTAGATACCTCTTATGTTTATTTGAAACCGAGCACATTAACCCCAACAATATTTGTTATCAAAATACTGAAACCAGATATGCTGTCTGAATGCTTTGCTCACTTGTATTGAGAATCTAGAAGCCTTGATGCTGATTGGCTGATTAGAAAGCTCAACTGGTGTAACATTTGTTGGTGTCCTCATATCTTCATGCAGGTTAGATTTCGAATAGGTCTTCAGCAACCCATGCTTGCCGTGAAGATCCGGTTTAGAATAGGTCTTCAGCAAACCATGCTTGCCGTGAAGATCCGGTTTAGAATAGGTCTTCAGCAACCCATGCTTGCCGTAAGAGGCGACTATGTTTGTTGTAAGAGGCGACTAACAGGATCGGGTGGTCAGACTCACCAACTTGGTTGAGGCATGTCATCGTATCCCATTTGTGTGGATCGATGCTCATGATTTCAATCACTGGATTGCCTGTTCCAGACTCGATTATTTACAGACTGCTGTCATATAGCTGGAAAAGTGCTGAGTGCGGCGTTAAACAACAACAAACAAACAAACATATCTGCATGCAGCATGGTAGGGTCTCTGAGTACAAGTTCGGATTTTATTGAGATGGAATTCAGGAAGGGTCCTTTTTTTCTTCTGATGGCTTCTGATGGCTTTTGGCTTCTTTTCTTGTGTCCAAACCCATGGTAGAATCCACTTGATATCTAGTGCAGGGTAGCCCAGTCATCTAAGGCACCATCAATTTGGTCCCAGATTCTCTGTGTTTATGTTTCTAGGTTTGTCAGCACGTACCCATTTTACCAAAGTGGTCAATATGTAAGACCTGCATCACTTGGGGCTTTCCTCAAACATCAAGCTGATGCTGTTCCAGGTGGCATTTAAAACAAATGTCACTCACACACTCTTTGCATCTCTTTACTGCCAGGACCTCCGAGCTGTGTTGAGGCTGTCCCTGGTCGACCCTGTAGCTGTGGTGGAGTATGCTGTCACTGTTGCAGTCAAAAGTTCAGGACAGATTCCAGTCGTACTGAAGGTATCTCACTCACCTGACTCCCACCAAAATATGTACCCAGCACCACATGAATGTTGAAAGTGTAAATATTGATAGTCTGTCATCCATTGTGACTTATCTTATAATCCACTTGACCAGACTTGATTACTTACGGGACACTGTGATATAAGATGCAAAACCTCCCGCACACCCATACACCCACTTCCTCCCTCCCTTGGGGCGGTCAGGTAGTCTAGTGATTAAAGCCTTCGCTCACCCCGCCCGAAGATCTGTGTTCAATATTCCCGACATGGGTACAGTGTGTGAAGCCCATTTCTGATGATATCGCTGGAATATTGCTAAAAGAGGTGTTAAACCATTCTAACTCCCTCTCTCTCTCCCTCACAAGTATGTACCAGGTCCTATCCAGCATAAAAAACTAAACAAAAATATTTCTTTACATTCATTCTCAGATTTTCAACTCGATGCCGGACTTGTGTCGTTGTTGCTATGGCAGCCACCAACCTGAGAAATCTCTCCTATGTCATGTGATCACCAAGTATTTGCTGGTGAACAAACTTGATCGAAATGAAGAGAAGAATTTAATCAAGTTTATTTCTACTGCTGTGCAGGTGAGAGGTCACTTTCTAACTTGGCCTTTATGAAATATTTCAGTGACAAGATTGTGGCCTTCGGTTTTTTATCAGGTATTGGTTATATCCCATGATAGCGAAAAATTGATAGCGAAAAATTGCTGACATATACGATGTTGATATAAGAATAGCTTGTTTGTAAGGTTGTAGACAATAAAGTTATCATTAATCTTTTCAGAGTTTTCACAGAGAAGTCAATGGCTACACATTTGAAGAAGCTGCCATCTTACCCCCAGCAGAGTTTGCCTCTGCAGCTATCTTGCCTTTCATTGGCTCATGTAACTCAGGAGATCAAGAACAGCCAATCAACACAGAGCTTGCTTTGAGGCTCTTCATCTGTGTACTGGAGAGAAGTGACAAGGACTGTGACTGGTTGATTGAACTACAGCCACAGACGCTACTTCTATGTCTGTTTGAGCTACTTGATGATTGTGTGGAGTTGTGGGATGGTCGAGTGAACAAGTCCGGTATAAAACAGTCCTGCTTGAGATGTCTCCAGCTGATGCAGGCAAAATGTGCTGGAATTTTCTCCAAATTGCACGGTCAGCATCTAAATTGTGATATTTGGTTACATTGTTTGTATATCTGTCAACCCAAAATTATGGAAATATGAAATAAGATGAAAACTTGAAGTTTGGGTTTTCTTTTGTACCATGTCTGATTTCAGTAGTAAAAAAGTTGAATCATATGGAAAGAAAATATCATTTTTCTTCTTTCTTTTTTCCTCACGGTTATGATTTCACTGAACATCTTCCATTAAGTAGCTCAGTGTAGAAAGTGAAGTTTCTTCAAATGTATTTCACATATTCTATCCTATCAACCACAGAGATGTCGCTTCAAAAATATATCTATGCAATTTTATTATGAACATGTTGACCACCAACTGACCCTATATATAAAAAATAATTATCTGAAAACTAATTTATGCAGTGTTCAGTGACATGTATTGGTATTGTGATATTTGACTGACGTTATTTTTATACCTGGGCCCACTTGCACAAAGCGATCTTAGCGCTAAGACTATTGTAAGCCTATGTTAAAGTATGGGCGTTACGATCTTCTTTGCGCTAAGATCACTTTGTGTAAGTGGGCCCTGATTATGTTAAAGGTCCTTTTAATGGAAGGCCTATCATTTGTATTTGCTTCAAATCATATCAATGTGTATTTTCCGACTATTTTGCAGTGATGGCTGCTGATTGGTTGAAATCGAAAACGAAGGATCTTGATTGGACGGTTCTGGTCCACCTTCAGAAGACTCTGTCCTGCCTGGACACAACACAGGCCGCTGGACACCAGGTGGTAGGTTTACAGGGCAATCTCAGTCAAATCCACAATGTCGGCCAATGATTCAAGTTAATGACCTAATTGTTTAGCCAAGTGGCAGCCTTAAAAATTAGTTTTTTTAAAGATGAGTGAAACCGTTATTTCACTTGGCGTTTGTAACTAATCCTGCGTGAATGAGACTGCTATGTTTACTTGTTCTGTCATATATATTCAGTTCCAGTTTGTAGCAAAATTGAACAATTGAGAACTGGTTCAGATTTATAGCCCTCAAATGCTTAAATTGTTTGATAGGCATTACTTAGAAGTTGACGGATGACGAGGTAGACACAATTTTATGGATAACAACTCCTTTAATACTGTGAAAAACGACGTTTCGGTATAGATCCTTATATCAGTCTTGCTTGACAACGGTATAAGGATCTATATCGAAACGTTGTTTTTCACAGTAGAAAAGAAGTTGTTATCCATAAAATTGCGTCTACCTTGCCTCAAATGCTTGTAGTCAACATGGTCGATGACGACTACAAGCACAATTTAGTAGCCTTAGGCTGATGGACTAGCGTGAGTTTCAAAGGCTTGGAGTTGGAGTAGATTGATTAGTAGTAATGATGGACACTTTTGGAGCTTCCTCCGAATCAAATAATATGATTTTCTTAATCTCATTAAAATCAGATCTTAGTTCGCGCTGCCGCTAAACAAGGATCTGAGGACATTCCATTACGGGTCACGTCAGAATGACACAATTCAAAATGGTGACCATTTAAGCTGTGACAAGAGTGTAAACATGAATATTTTCATGGTTATATCATTTTGCTTGACCTGCATCAAGTTTTTGCCACTTTTTCTGTTGTAGTTTGTTGAGGACCTAGCTGACCATGTGATACGAGGCTGTGGTGAGTTTTGGCTTCCTCTGATACAAAGGGGAATAGGTGCCCAGAGTTCCCTGTGATTAAACAGGATCTGGTAGTCCCATGGCTGGTGCATGTCATTGGGACCTGATGGCACAGATTTTTAATACTTTCATGGACCCAGACAATTATATCTGTGATATCGTTATATTGGATGTCAAATATCATTCACTCTTTTTGTTCAAAATTGATTGATAGAAGTGTGTATGTCAGAAAAGGGGAGAAAACATATCTTTGGAGTCCCTTAGCAGTGTAGTATACGACAACTTATTTCTTATAGTTCAGCTCAGTGATAAAATGAGAAAGATTTGTCTGTTCCTACCAGCTGACAACTGCTTGCCACTACTGAGGTGTGCCAGCATCTCTGATGAAACAGCAACCGCCATCAACCAGCGAATCCCATCTGGCCACAGAGTTATCTCCCCTGATGTCCTTACGTCTGCTCTGTCCCAGGTTGGTGAGATTGGTCTCAGGACTGTATCATCTCTGTATCATCTCTCTCATACTGTCCAACTACCGGTAGCTTCCAGAACTTTCTAGACAGTGCTGTAAGGCTCTATACAATGCTGGACAGGTCTCACCGTTTCCGGAAATTACCACACCACTCTAGCTTCTAAATATAGTAACTTCCTGACGACCTTACCTTAAATAGTACTACATTCCTGACGACTGGCAAAATACAACACAATGCAGCACAGCTACAATCATTGTTAAACTATAAAATACACTGCCATATGACAATAGCAATATCTTATCAATGTCCTCATCTTTTAAATTTGCCATTTCCAGTGGGCCATAAAGGTCCTTATCCTGCTGGTGTAGCTTGTCCTTGCACATTGTGAGATAAGTGCCTGCTGGTGTTGCCCTCATGGTGACGTATGTGGTGTTGCAGATGCTGCGGAATCTGCTGCTGATGGAGTGGAGACGGGTGAGCGGCTGTCTGTGGACCCTCATCACCCACGACTGCCTGACTCCTCCCTACAGGCTGCTATTGGATAACAAGGTTGTGTTGGCAACAAAAAATGGTAAATATACTCGCAGAAATCTTAGGGCTGTGGGGAATACTAGAAATGAACCCAAAGACTGGGGTTTGATTCTCCCGGTTTGTACACAATTGTCATGTCCCCTTTGCTGATATTGTTGGTATGTACTTCTCAAAAGAAAAGTAGTATACTAGGGTATACAGACAGTTCCCCTTAAGTGCCCATGGGGCTGATTAGCAATGGGGTGCTGGGGACACATTCTACCCCGGGTGCCATGGGGCTGATTAGCAATGGGGTGCTGGGGACACATTCTACCCCGGGTGTCATGGGGCTGATTAGCAATGGGGTGCTGGGGACACATTCTACCCTGGGTGCCATGGGGTTGATTAGCAATGAGGTGCTTGGGACACATTCTACCCCAGGTGCCATGGGGCTGATTAGCAATGGGGTGCTGGGGACACATTCTACCCTGGGTGCCATGGGGTTGATTAGCAATGAGGTGCTTGGGACACATTCTACCCCAGGTGCCATGGGGCTGATTAGCAATGGGGTGCTTGGGACACATTCTACCCTGGGTGCCATGGGGTTGATTAGCAATGAGGTGCTTGGGACACATTCTACCCCAGGTGCCATGGGGCTGATTAGCAATGAGGTGCTTGGGACACATTCTACCCTGGGTGCCATGGGGTTGATTAGCAATGAGGTGCTTGGGACACATTCTACCCCAGGTGTCATGGGGCTGATTAGCAATTGAGTGCTTGGGACACATTCTACCCCAGGTGTCATGGGGCTGATTAGCAATTGAGTGCTGGGGACACATTCTACCCCAGGTGCCATGGGGCTGATTAGCAATGGGGTGCTGGGGACACATTCTACCCTGGGTGCCATGGGGTTGATTAGCAATGAGGTGCTTGGGACACATTCTACCCCAGGTGCCATGGGGCTGATTAGCAATGAGGTGCTTGGGACACATTCTACCCTGGGTGCCATGGGGTTGATTAGCAATGAGGTGCTTGGGACACATTCTACCCCAGGTGCCATGGGGCTGATTAGCAATGAGGTGCTTGGGACACATTCTACCCTGGGTGCCATGGGGCTGATTAGCAATGAGGTGCTTGGGACACATTCTACCCTGGGTGCCATGGGGTTGATTAGCAATGAGGTGCTTGGGACACATTCTACCCCAGGTGCCATGGGGCGGATTAGCAATGAGGTGCTTGGGACACATTCTACCCCAGGTGCCATGGGGCTGATTAGCAATTGAGCGCTGGGGACACATTCTACCCTGGGTGCCATGGGGCTGATTAGCAATTGAGCGCTGGGGACACATTCTACCCTGGGTGCCATGGGGCTGATTAGCAATTGAGCGCTGGGGACACATTCTACCCCAGGTGCCCATGGGGCTGATTAGCAATGTCAATGCCTATGTCAATGTGAAAAGTAAAATAGTGAGCGAGTCAGTGAGTGAAAATAAACAAGAAATATTGATGGATTTTTGTTTGTTAGTTTTCTAAGTTATAAGCTGTGCCTTTCATTTTAAGGTCTGCCATTTATATTTCCAGAGGTGAAGTGTTTGCTGACTTTGACTCAGATACTGTCTAACGTTGTCATGGCAACCTCTAGTGACACGTCTGCTCCTGCGTCTGCTGTCCAGCATGTCAACACCTGCTATGTAACAGTTCTGCAGGTAATGCTGATTGATGATTGTTCCCTTTGTTATTGACTAGTTCCACATATTGTATTGAAATTATGCTTCCCGGTCTGGAACCTGTCCTTGATCAACCAGAGCATTATATCTCCATGCCATTATGACATACATACCCTGGATCCATACGCCACCAAAGCTTCATTGTGGAAGTGATGTCACAATCTCTATCCTACTCTTTATTGTTTGATCTTTGTGGCCATTTGATACCTTACACTTGCTGTCTTATGTTTTGTTTGTTTGTTTGTTTAACGCCGTACTCGGCAATATTCCAGCTATATGACGGTGATCTGCAAATAATCAAGTCTGGACCAGACAATACTATTTTCTGTAATCTGCTGATACTGCATTTAACTTGTTGAAGCTAAAATTGTGCATGTTAGTGCTTCATAATTCTGGTCCTATTTTCAAAATGGCCACCATGGGATCTTTATTGAAACTTACTTGATTAATACACAAAATATGTTGATGCCTTGGACCTGAAAAAGATTTTAAAGGAAACCACATGACCTTCTTGTTTCAGGAACAGACCAAGGTTCTTACGGCTGTCCAGGACAGAAAAATTGTGTCATTTACACTCATTCAGATGTTAAGTCATGTGACTGTTGCCATGACTACAATGGACTCGGACCAATCAGAACCCTTGTATGTCTTTCTGCTGGACTTGCTAGGCAAATACAGTGACCTTAAGAAAGGGAGACAATCTCCCAGCAACATCCTGAAATTCCGGGAACTGGACCAGGTTGTCGTGCAAGCTGTGGGTCTGATGGAGGACAACAGCAGACAGGAGACATTGTTGAAAAAACTATTTGAGAAAAAGCAGGAGACAGGTTTGCAGAAATGAGTGTTCATTAAATAAAAACATGGATGTCATAGGTCAAACCTTACGTCATATCAAGCTGGTATTTCAAATCTAGTCTAGATTTTCACTTCTCTCGGACTAACCGGCAAGTGGCCATGTCTATCCAAGGATGTGCAAGTCTTATGTATTACAGAAGTGGATCCAGGATTTTGAAAAAGTCAAGTCACAATAATCCTCTATATCTCCAGGGCTCACATTTCATATTACACTCAACGAGGGACTGATCCACATCTTAAGTTACCTGCCCTTGATGACCTTTAGTGAGTGAGTGAGTTTGGTTTAACGCCACTTTTAACAGTATTCCAGTTATATCATGGCGTGTCAGCTTAATGTGGGAGGAAAGCCCGAAGTGATGCAGATCTCAGACGTTTACCACTTCGGTGAAACCCGCGAGCACGGGTATGGTGCTGACAAACCTAGAAACATAATTGGGGCGAACCGGGATTCAAACCCACAATCATAGGTTTCTGGCATGCCCAAGGGACGCAACTCTTCACAGCGAATGGCGGCACCTTAGACAACTGGGCCACCTGTGCCCCCTGATTACCTTTAGCCATTTGTCATGTAAGGTGTCTGGAAAAGGGGTTCACTTCCCTTGCTCCCTCCCTGGATCTGCAGTGTATCAGTACATAAAACATTACACTTAGTGTTTTGTATTGTTACATGCGGCAGTCCAACAGAAAAACTGAAAAGTTTCGTCCATTTCTGATGAGAGATGTTGCCAGATACTGACACACAAGTCCAGTTCACATTAGTGTGGTCTTACATGAATTGTGCTATGCTTGTTGTAAGAGGCGAGAACGGGTGGTCAGGCTCGCTGACTTGGTTGATGCATGTCATCATATCCCACTTGCGTAGATCGATGCTCATAATGTCAGTCACTGGATTGTCTGGTCCAAACTTGATTATTTACAGACCACCGTCATATAGCTGGAAAATTGCTGAGTGCAGCGTTAAACAACAAACAAACAAAAACATGTGATACTGGGAGCCACTATGACCCTTATGGTTTTGGTTAGACACACACCAAACTCATTCATGCTTAAAATCCATGGGTATCAGGGGGGGGATGGGGGTTGGGTGGAAGGTTGCCCAGACGTCTAAGAGTGACAGCTTGCTGAGCAGAGTGGTGTCCCTTAGGCCTGAAAAAATTCCACGATTGTAGACACAGATCCAAGATTAGACCGTACTGATTATTGTTCTTGGTTTGTCGCCACCTCACCAGTGGGTTTCACCAAATTGGTAAAAGTCCTCGGTGTGCATGTGTGTGTATCAAGCGTAACAGGGGGCACGGATGAGCCAGTCTAAGGCGTAGAGTTGTGTCCCTTGGGCACGCCAGGAACCTATGATAATGAGTTTGAATACTTGCTCTCATGGTTATCTTTCACGTTTGTCAGCACCATACATTAATTGGGGTTCCACCAAAATGGTAAACATCAGAGACCGGCATCACATTAGGCTGACTCGCTGTGAATTAACTGGAATACTGTTAAAAGTGACCCAAACCACAAACACAATAGAGGAAGGATGACAAACAAAGCCATCATACCAAACTGTTTTAATTAGCAACAGAAGTCACTGAAGACTGCAATATATAAACGTATTACATGGCTGCAATATAAAAGTATTAAAGTCGAAGCCTGACTTGAAAGGGACCCAGCAAATTGCTATTTAGGACAAATGGACACAACTATTTGGCAATAATTATGAGCATGACAAACAAGTTGTACTTATTCTGAAGGAAAAAACTAAAGTAAGCTTTAAGAGAGGCAGTGTTTGGTAACAAGGGCCAGGAATTGGTCAAAAGCGGTGACCCCATTACAGGGGCAATGCAAGTCATCTTGCGTATACCGTATTCGACGTAATAAGCGCCCAGGGCGCTCTCAAAATTAGAAATAGGGGGCTCTTATTAGAATATTATTTTGGTGAAAAAAAACAGAGTTAAAAGATAAATTTCGTGGTTTATGCTGACAGCCTTATATGTTTATATACGACAGATATATTTTTCCAGAATGTATTTGCCCATAATTAAGGGTGCATATAACACATGAGTGCGTATTATACGCGAATAAATAAGTCTTGTGTACATTGATCAATCGGAAGGGGTGCTAATTGGGTTTGTTCACTCGCCAATATATTAGCAAATATCGCCGTGGGCGCTTATTAGAGCGGGGCGCTTATTACGTCGAATACGGTATGTCAGTGTCTTTTCCCAAGTACATGGAAAGAAAGTTTGAATTGAAAACATTTTCAAGAGGTCACTCTGACTGATGAATTGGTATTACCAAACACAGATACGGAAGTGAACAGAGATAGTAATGTTTCTTTCTTCAGATACATATTACTAAAAGGGTTAAGGACCATCCAATTCTTTCATATTACTGTTCATAGTTACATGGCATGACGGATTAACTTCAGTAAAATATTAGAATCGGGTGGCCGATTTCCATCTGCTTATTTCCATTTGTTCCCTTAGTTTCACCTTCAGTATACAAGTCCAGAAACAATATCATGCCCATGCTAGTAGCTCAGTAGGAAATTGAGAGAAAAATATTGACCAATCAAGCAGTTGTGATGCAAGATTTACTTCAAACTCGATCACTATTTATGTAATCGTCTGCGCATAATTTGGGTTGGTTATCAAAAACTACACAGATAAAAGTAAAATTTGACAACAGGTGCCCTGCATTACTAATTGGCACTAATGACATACCGGGGTAGTCCTTGCTAAACTGCCCAGTAGTTGAGGTACCATCAGGACCATCAGACCAGTAAAAGCTGCAACTAAATTACCAAATATTGGGATATATTATTCCTGAAAAAAAATAGTTTCAGATACAATTTTTGCCGATGCTTGCATGAAAATCCTGTAAAGTTATACTGTTGGGTGTGTCTTGACCGAATCATCGGTAGATTCCAAGAAAAGGTGTGTACAGCTGATTGCTGTTTCCGGCTTAGTTTACAAGAAAATACACAAGGTAATCTTAATCCCTGGATATATAAATATGCCTAGCAGAACAAAAAGAATACAATTTAAACGGTAAATCAACATGTCTGGTAATTTTTTATCTCAAATTTCGAATTTGTACTGACTAAGTTTCTCATCACCCGCTCGTTTACCAGAATTCGCTGAAGGGGTAATTTTTTTCTGCGCTTGACATTCGATTTTTTTCTCTCCAAAATACTGAATCCACTAGAGGGGGGTGTGCATTATACATGGGTGCGCACTATACTCAAGAAAATATGGTAGTAGGAATTTGTTTTAAGGGTTTTGCTGTATGTTATTACAAGGACTAGTGGACTAAAACTGTTTATCAGTACAGGGTTCCCTATTGATACAGTGCCATGTGTAAATCATAATGACATGTTTCAGATCCGGCACTGGTGCCTGAAGGGTACACTTAGAAATCACATGACAAAAGTACCTTGAGATAATGTTTGCTCTTTGGAGACGAGAAATTTATTTCGCACATATAATCCGTACAAACACATTTAGATTTTCATTGAAAAGTTTTCTGGTGGGCTCACTTAGTTCCAAAGGGCACACCAGGGTATGAAACTCCCAAAAATTTCAGCCAGACCACAGGACTGGCTAGCTGAAATACTTGCCAGCCCTGACCAAAACCTGCCTGCCCACTATAATCATATGTTTCTCAGGATAAGCTAACGGGGTTTCTTTTTGGTTACATTTTATCATTCATCTTTACATGTGAATTAATGATTATCATCGGGAAATATTTAGAATATTGTCACATATGAAATATAACCCGACCGTCGGGCAGGGGGATTTGAAAATCTGGCAGCCCGAGTTGAAATCAACCCGTCTCGGACGGTCAGGCAGGCAGGTATTTCGAACACTGGGCACACATAAACATCTTTAGAAGTGCCCCATGGCACACTTGAAAAGACTTCAGTTCTACCCCTGCAGTATATTATGCAATAAAGACATCCGACAAACTGTCATAAACAGTACATAAACTCAGTACTGGGAACACCACAAACTAAAGCTGACATTTCCTGCATGTTTTTACTAATGAGAAGTTATTCATATATACTGAATAAAAGAAACTAGGGATCAGGAATATTTGGGGGATATGTATTTTTTAGTGAAGATTGAACACACACTTTCATCAAAATAACCCCCTGAATATCCATGATCCTTAACTGTTTTGGTTCAGTGTATCCTGCACGATCAGGTACTATCATGTATCAAATGGCTGAGTAAAAACATTGCACTAACCCATTGGTCCGACCCTCGTATAACAAATGCATAGGTCTGACGGACATCTCCAAGCCACGCCTACATGGATACTGTTGCTAAGTCCCCCAAGCTTTCAGCTGCTGAGCAGTTAAAATGGCGGAAAGCTGCTTTATTGAATCAGTCCAATCACTTTCCATATTTTGTGAAACAAAAATGTCCCATTACCTTTACATTTTGCATGAAAAAGAACCATTAAAGTTCAAACTTCTAAATTGAATGACGTTTCCATAACAACGAGATTCAAAGCAACAGGTTGCTAGGTTACAATAATCATGGCGCCAGATCACATTCATTTTGATTGTAGGTTCAAGTCAAATCAACAGTAAACATAAAAGAAATTAGATATGACAGATCATTTTCCATAACACATACATAACATACTATAAGTTTATTTCAGGGGTGGAAAAATCAGCAAGTCAAATGTCAATAACAAGAATATGGCCTGACATTAAACACATTGTGCAACATCATATTTCAGACTCCAAAACCTATTATTAGGTTATACTGTTATACACGTCTTGTCAAACCTTCACAGGTTTGTCCACGCTACATGCCTCCAACACTCTGCAACTTTGCAGTGTAATGGCTCAGCCCAGAAGTGGGGCGGTCGGGTAGCCTAGTTGTAAAAGCATTCGCTCGTCACGCAGAAGACCCAGGTTCGATTCCCGACATGGGTACATTGTATGAAGCCCATTTCTAGTGTCCCCCGCCGTGATATTGCTGGAATATTGCTAAAAGCGGTGTAAAACCATACTCACTCTCTCACTCACTCACTCAGCC